ATTACCGGACATGGTCATAAAAACATCATAAGCCGATATTGAAGAATAATAATTTATGACAGGTTGCCGACAACAGACCTTTAGCACAGAATAATCATTTTTGCACTCATGATCTTTTTTGATGGCTTTCGTGCATTCACCAGGGTGCGGGAGTTCGAACTTCCCGCACACGTGCATTTTAACTTCCCGTTGCCATGGTAACCTTAAAGTACTCGCGTAGTGTCAACATTGTGATGTGTTGACGGCGCCATTGTTTATAAATAACTCACAGTTAATTTCTTCAGTTTAAAGGTTTATTCGTTACAAATAGTAATTTACGCAACTAGTTCGGGATAGCCTGCTTCCCGCATGAACGCTTGTTTGAGGCACGACCGAAGGGAGTGCCGCATTTGCGTGAATGCGGGAAGCAGGCTCACGAACGTGTTGTGTACAATATTTTTTGCTACGAATAAACCTTTAAACTGAAGAGATTAACTGTGAGTTATTTATAAACAACGCCATTGACAGCGCCGTCAACACGTCACAATGTTGACACTACCCGAGTATTTTAAGGTTACCATGGCAACGGGAAGTTAAATGCACGTGTGCGGGAAGTTCGACCTCCCGCACTCTGGTGAATGCGCGAAAGCTATCAAAAAAGGTCATGAGTGCAAAAAAGCAATTTTTAGCACTTTTTTAACCCGTCTAACTTAAAAACTCATGGGACTCTCACACAAACTTTCATCCCTTATTTTCTCCCTTTACTGGGTGCTTATAACACTTATAACACAAAAGGAATCTACTTTCCAAATTTCATGTTTCCAACTACAGTGGTTTCGGTTCTGGGGTGATGAATTAGTCAGTCTGTTTTATATATGTATTAAGATAAAACTAGTAATCCAGCAACACAGTAAATTAGTTGTCGTTTTATCTGTTTTTGTAGTCGACTAATTATACATATACAGTATTTTGACTAAATACAACATTAGAACAGAGTTCGCATGTGCGTACTGTAACCTCACTTGACTTGTAAAACTTTTATGAGTTAAGTGGCTTAAGCCAAAGCACCCTTATAAGTCAAACTAGCTGTTGTATGACTTAACTCAGTTCACAGCTCCATTATGGCAACAATGGACAGAATAATCCTTGCGGTTCGGGTCCATAAAGCTTACAATCGCCAGTTAGACTTATAAAGGTGTATTGGCTTAAGCCGCTCAAGTAATACAAGTTTTACGAGGTATATGTCAAGTGAGTTTACTTTATACTGTACTTATTCTATAATAACCTCACTTTTTATATTTTGCACTTAAAAAATGACTTGTAAACCATATCTCAAAAATTTGCTGTTATTCTAAAACAAACACCGTGAACACGGAACAGTTAAACAGTTATGAAAATGTGAAAATTTCTCTGAAAAATTAAGAATCTCGATAATTACCACTTTTTAAGATTTTTGTATATGGGGCTTTTTATTCTGGCGGTTGTGAAGTTGATTTAATCACAACAATTTACAAGAACAAACAATCGCGTACGGTAGACTGGACTCAAACATTTAAGGCGTTTATGGCTTTGACGTTTATAGTATTTAACATTACTAGCATGGTAAAATTGTTTTTACTGGAGCCAGTAAAAACCCGTTACCTTGCGTGTATTGTTCAATATTTTATTTGTTTCTCACTTGTAAATAACTATTATAAATTATTATTAAAAACTCTAGAAGGTCCAATATTTGAAGAAACATCGTATGAGCTTTAGACGTATTGCCTTGGAAACGCACGTCAGCATGGCGCTTGTCATAGCATTTACTGTGTTGTCTACTTCTGTCATTTAGATTTTTCCATTTATCGTTTTCGATGTGTTGAAGTGAGCAAGCTATATTACTGAGGAAGCAGCAATTGTGAGTGCAAATTTCCTTGAATCAATTTTGGCTGTCATTTCAACTTATAATAATTTAAAATGTTTAAAATACATCACGGTATGAATACGAGCAGGGCTGTAAAAATTTTACTGGCAGCCAGTAACATTTTTTACAGCCATATATCTAATAGTACTATATTGCTAACTGGCCTCAAAAGATTCCGAAAACATAACGGCAGAGCAATATATCGGACATCTCTGTCTCTCTGTGGTACCAAACAGTACTGCGCATGCACTCGTACTTGGTTGATTTGTAATGGATAGCGTGACTGGATGCGTTTTGACATTTCGTACTTTCGCTTCTATTTTGTGTACATGCGCACAGACCCTCGGTACTCTTATAGACAGAAAACAACATCTTCTGTCTCTCTCTGTCCGTGAACACCGTTTTTATGTTACTTCCGAAGTGTTAGCAATATAGTACTATTAGATATATGTTTACAGCCGACCTTTCATAAAACTTAGTAAATGTAAACCATGCCACGTGCCAGGGACGACCGAGACGCGAAGGACCGGACTAAGAGTAATTTTGTTTTTAACGTTTCATCCGTACCTTAATTATTTAATCATTATTATTCTGCACATTTGAGAATATCATTAAGATTACCAAAATTTAGTAATGCAACAATTGACATAATTAGGGAAGAAGCTTCCAAAATAACTGCCGAAACGTGGGCCAATTGTGTACAGCATTCCATAAAAGAAGAAGACCAGTAAAGTCCTGCCCTGTGCTTTTACCAGAAAAGGTCTTTCCAGGTAGATATCGGTGAGCGGGTTTAAGACATCCGATATGTACTATCCACTACTATTCGAGTTCTTCTGGTGAAGAAGAAATATTATATCGACGATCCAGGAACCCGAAACAGAAAATGAAAAAATCTATTCGACAACTACGATAATCTTGATTTATTGAAAGATTTCGCTTAACTAAGTATAGCAACTACAACGGTGGTGTTGCAACAAATTTCAAATATACTACAGCTCCAATCCAACAAATAAGATTTATTTACAAGATAACGGCAGTAATTAACTCATTGCATGCATATTATTCCAAGGACGTATGTATGTCACCCATGGTAAAATTTTTTGCCACCGAAAGTATGCTGATCGCCATGGGTGATTTTATAGGTGTCTCAAAATCATCTACATGCAAGATTGTTTACAGGGTTTCACAGGCCGTTGTATGTCTTCGTCCACGATACATAAAAACAGAATGGGAGAAGAATTTTATCAATTGACTGGTTTTCCAAGAGTGGTTTGTGCTATCGACTACATTCTTATCCCTATTGCATCGCCTGGAGGGGAAGATACAGAAGTTTTTCGAAGCCAACAAAGATATTTTGATCTAAATATCGAAACAGCGTCTGATGCTAATTTAAAAATAAGAAATATTGTTGCATGGTGGCCTGCCTTAACGCACGACCAGACAATATTTAATAAATTCTTGTCTAAAAGAAGCATTTATTTTAGCAATAATATGTATGGTATTACCTACCTATGATTAGTGGTTATTTGTACTTATTTATTAGTTGGGCAATTTGAAAGTTTAGTGATAATATGTTTTCTCATGTTATTCTTCGTCCCTTTTACATTTTGTTCTTTTATATATTCGTTCTTCTTCTTGGATCTTATTATTTGTAATTAATGTTCTTTTTAATTCCGCCACTTCAATTTCTAATAGTAGCGTAAGCTAAGGGAGTAAAGTAATCGACTCCATCGGACGAATTGCCACTTTTATGTTTACTCGACGTTTCATGACCCCTACAGTACGAAAAAAGTAGTCTCCTATTTCCGCCTCTCTGTCTGTCTAATATAGTCCTACACATGTAGTTTGATTCCGTATTGAATTTTTACCGGATTTTTGGAAAAAAAATCAAAATTATAAAAAAACATTTTGCAATTTAATTTTGAATCTGCAAAACCGAATAATTTGAAATCCTTCAGATGTTTTAAAGTTATGATAAACATTATAAATGTTTAATCAAAATATATTTACTTATCCCCTCCAAAAAAATTGATGACGTCAGCTCAAAATTTTGCCGAATAAATCCTATCTAAATGGAGTTGCATTTTATCACAATCATCATCAGTAGCAGGCGAACCATATATAGATATGGTTAGAATGATAGAATTTTATTCCAAGCAAAATTTTTGGAGGTAGCTCAGCTATTGGTTGTTTTCATTTCCATCACAGTTTTAATATTTTTTTTTTGCATTTCTTCAAATAAAAAATTCCTCTTGTTTACCAAAATTGGGACCTGTTTTGCGAGTATTATGGCACGAACTCATGTTTTCAGTAAACAAAACAATTAGTACTTATATTCCAAATCTTTAACTGACAATAAATTCGAACTAATGGGATTTTATGCATTTTAAGAAAAGTGTTTAGGTACAGTAACTTTATATGTAGTATTATGAAACCGGATGTGTAAGGGTTCTAATTTACTAGATTAGGGTAAATTTATACTACTTTAATTGAGATTAAGTTAATCATGTACTTAACGAGTCGTTAAGGGCCATCTTGTTGGCGTCAAGTCGGTTACGTGGTACCTTAAGCTCGTGTTAAAAATTGCGACAAGTTTCAGGAAGGGATGTTATTCGTATATTGTACCAAATTTTTAAAGAGTGATCAAAATGTTTTCAGATTAGAGTTGGCCATGGAAATATGTGTTATGTCTTTGATTAAATGATTCGAGGTTATTTGTATGAGTATATAGGTATGCATAATATACACAACGTAAGCTTGTCCTAGTTCATTCCAATAAACAGTAGTTTCTTATCATTCCTCAGACAGCCTCCCTTCATCAGAAACTTTTTGGAACATACGATTAGAAAAATTATTTGCACCAGCAGTGCGATTCTGACAATCCATGTAATAAAATATAAATCAAAATCAAGTCAGTAAATTAAAAACATGTATTTTTATTCATTTGAGATAAAAAAAAACCTAAACCATAGTGAATTCACTTTCTCAGATTTTAAAAAAATCGGGATATTTGAAAATGCAAGGTTTTCGACCAAAACACATATTGGCCACGAACACATCCGTCGTTGGTTACAAAATGAGTCGAAAACAGGTTTCGATAACAAGTAGGTATTGTTGTGTAGAATACACGCCAGTTAAATTAACAAAGTTTCCAGTTTACTCCCCATAAATGTATTATTCGCTTTACAACTCGTTTGAAGAACTTGTTTATGTATACACTGTCGCTAATATGAAATAATGGAATATAATAAAAATAGTTGCTACTTTAATTGCAACCTGTGAAGGTCACAATAAAAATAAGTGAGTAGTTGTTGGGGAGGGGGGGCAGTTTTCCTCGTTTGTTTATAAATGTTACGGTAGGTACACATTTTATTTTTTTTAGATAAACACTGCAGATAAGATTCGTGAGAAAACACCCATAATGTCAACTTTTCTTAAAGTTTTGTTTATTTTAATGGCGCTAAAATTAATCGTACACGTGTATATCCCAAATGGAAACAATGTTTGTAAAACCTTTACAGATTATTATTTTCCAGAAGGAAACGAAAATTGTTATTATGATCCAGACGGACTCCTGGAAACTGTAAGTTTGCAAATTTAACCTCACATATTTATTTTCCGGCCATTTCATAAATGATACAAGTTTTTCAAACAGTTGTTTGCGTCATTTACTAGCATGCTAATTTGTCGACACAGAAGTGTTAGTTTTTTAAATAGCCTGTTATTATTATTTCTTAAAATTGTAAATTGGGGACCAGTTGTTAATGTACACATAAATATGCGTTACGCACATTTCAAATACGATTCAAGTAAAAAAAAATTATGTCATCAATTTTGTTCTGAAAGAAAATACAAATTTTTAAAAATAGACGCGCAGGCAGATAACTAAATAAACAATCAAACATATACCATAATCATTATTTTATATATTTTACTTACTTACATTGAAATAAAATGAGATGAAAAAACATTTTCATAATATATGAAATGCAATGAAAAGACAAAATTAAACATAGTCAAAAACTCCAAATACTACACACACTACACACATATAGATATTAGACAGTTACACAAAGAAATGTTCGTCAGCAACTATTCTTGGTAATATGGCATCATAATAAAATAGAAAATAAGAAAAAAAAAAGTTTGCGATTACGATAACGAAAAAAGTAATGAAACACGAAATGTAAACAAAATGTGTTTCTCAAAGGTAATTCTAAAATAAGCAATGCCAAGTAAGATTTCAGATTTTGTAAATCGGTTGAAGAGTTGTAAATTAACAAAAATTAATAAAAGCCAGATATTTCCAGTGTAATATTTGTAATAAATTTAAAAGTTCATTTTTGTACGGTGTCGTTAACAATTTTCAGTTTTAGCCAGAACTTATTAAAAAGTATGCAGGTGTCGTAGAAACCCATGAAGTTACTAGTGAAGACGGATACGTGCTGACCATGTTCCGAATACCAGCACCTAACCCAAAAGGCGTTATTTTAATTCACCATTCGATTGCCACGTATTCCCAGGTTTATTTTTTTCAAGGCAACGATTCTTTAGGTAAGTTATTTCATTTTTTTCTTATATTGATTCTGTAAATTTCAGCCATCACTTTATGGCGTAACGGTTTCGATGTCTGGTTAGCCAATCAAAGAGGAACTTCATATTCTAACAGACACGTGAATATGACAAAACGTGATTACGGTTACTGGAATTTCAGGTGAAACGATATAATAAGAAGAAAACTTTAAACGGTTTAACGAATAAATTTTTGGCAGTTTTCACGAAATGGGCATATATGACGTTAGTTCCGAACTAGAGCTCATTCGAGAAAAAACAAACAACTCGCAAATTACATATTTTGGTCATTCTTTGGGTGGAACAATAGGACTAGTTTACGCTTCACTAAAATCATTTGACGCCGCAAAGTATTTAAAAAACATGGTTCTTGTAACTCCGGCCACAACAATGCAGTCTCCTACAATTACGTATGGCATTGGGAAGATTTTATTTCCCATTTTGGAAGTATGTGATCATGTAACAAAATTATTCTACTTATAAATATGTACTTATTTTAGTTTGTTACAAACATACTTCAAAGCGGTTCCCCGTTGATTGGCCTGCATTTCATAGTTGCAGCCTCTAGGATCTTCATGCGATTCTTTCCTCCTATTCAAATTATCGCAGTTCTTCTTCTTTGGTTCCTCTGTGGATTTACTCCAGAAGAAACGGATCCGGTAACATTACTTCTTTAGCTTTCGTGACCATTCTCCAGACATTTTTCAGTTTTGATGCGTTTATGTATCTCAACAACTACTCGTGGAAAACATTATTCCATTTTGTTCAGCTCATCGGATCTAGTCATTTTAAAATGTATGACTATGGTTTAGAAAATAATGTAGAAGTGTATGGTAATGGCAGTGCTCCTCTGTACCCACTTGAAAATATCATGGTTCCTACACTGATTATATCCAGTGCTAGGGACGTTTTGGTACCACAAATAGTAAAGAGAATGTTATTTATTATAACAAGATATTAACATTTTTTTTTTTAGGATTGTGAGAACGTTTTTGGCAAGTTATCTCAGCAAGCAAAGCTTTATGGGCACTGGAAAATTTCTGAACTGAACCATTTAGATTTTTTGGCTGGTTTAAGCCGACAGAAAGTTGTTTTTGAAAGGCTAGCTTTCCTTCTAAAGACTGATTTGTAATTTATTTATATTTTTCTTCCAACAAAAGTTTTTGTTCTTGTAGAACAACTTTAATTTTAAAATAAAACTATTGAGAAAACATCATGTAAGTGAAAATCGTATACAATTTTTTCATTGGCGAATTTGCAACATTTTTTTATTTATATACTGAAAGAACATTTATTTTTACACGCTTACTAGAAATGATTGTAAAAGATGTCGCGAACAACGCATGTGCTTCATTTGTTCATAACTTCATACCATTGTGTAAAAGTGGCATTTACTTGTTGAAAAGTGTTAGGATAAAGTGAGGTTAGGTTGCATCATTCCGCGTTGTCAGCTGCCTTATGTAGATTAAGTTTTAGGTTTACCCATGGGTTTATTGCACACATAGGTATGTTAGCTATTCACGATCTTTCTGGATAAGGACCAGTTGTTGAAATTTAGCAGTTTTTTTAGTTTAAAAACGGCTTTAAAAATGAGGTTATAAATTCAATCATTCAATGTGACAAATGTAGAATCTACGCTGCCGACGTTAGACTTCCTTTATCGGATGGGACTATAAAATTGGCTGTTGATAAATTTTTGTTCTTTGATAATTTAATTCATGTTTTGTTACTGTGTTTAAACACAGTAAAGTCGCGATCTTTTCTATAGAACCACTCCCTAGTGTAAATTTTCAAAATTTGTTTGGTGTACGTGACCTTGACGGGTTTCTGGGGGAAACATATGTGTCAAAAATTTGACAGGTTAGATGGCCCCATTGTCAATGTAGATATTTTATTTTAATAAATAGATGAACAGAACATACAGTCTGTACCGGATACAGTGCGGCATAGCTAAGGGCAACCGAAACATTCGTGTTGTGCTAATTTTGATTGCCATATCAACTGCCGCTACCAACTGCGTTCGGCGTAAAGTACTAGATGACAGGGCTACCAACTTGACTTTTTATCGAGTGGTTCCGTAGAAATGACCGCTACTGTAGGTATGATATTAGGATCATAGTTATAATTTAATTTATTCCTACGGTGGTACAACATATTCAAAACCTGTCAGGATGGATAAACAAAGCAAATAATTAGAATTTTTAGAGTCAGCGATTTAAAAAGTGGTTTCTTTAAACATATTCATTAAAAATTTAATTTCGTGACGTATAACTTTCAAATAGGTTCTTCGTTTTAGCATATTTTTTCGACTTAATTTTCACTACAAGAGTAATATATAAGTTAAGATTTGAAAACAAAGGAAACAGATTTACTGGTTTAGCTTAATCTTTCAGTACAACCACTTTGAAAATGAGCATTAATAAGTGTTAACATATTAATAAGAAAGTATCTAAATTTAAACCTCGGCCCGGTTAATATGAAAAAGGATAATGAAATTCCGAAGTTCTTTTTTCGAAAATTTTGCATTGAAATTGACACCATTATTATTATACCGGGTGTCTTGAAAATGGCGAATTAACTCTCCGCTACGATCAACTGGTGAGTCTGGGAAAAATAGTAAAAAAATTCCTTCTCACATTTTTGTCTAGTTATAATTTGTAATGATTTTAAAATTGGTTCTTTAGCTACGTTTAACAACTAAACAACACATTCATTATCACAATAACTTGTAATAAAACTTTTAGTTAACATTTCTCTCGTCCATGACCATGTTCATTTCAGTTAGAACGTACAAAGATATGGTTGTGTTGTTTTTGTAATAATTTGATAAAATTCCATTTGACAACAATGTTTGCCTAGTGTAAAGCGAAGGTACAAATCAGCAAAAATCGAGTAAGCAATTAAAAAGGTTAGACGTATCAAAAATTGCCAAAGTTTTCAAAACCGTACGTTTAAAATGTTCGTAGTTAATTTTAAGTCCCCTGGACCCGGTTTATATAAAGTGGATTAAAGTTAATTCGCGATTAACTTGTAATTGAGATCTGTTGGTAAGGTAAAGTGCATGTTTTAACCAATCACAACCTCATATTTTACATTTTAATCCTCTGTTAAATTAATCGACGGTTAAATATTTTTTCAAACGCTAACACTTTATAGTCTTTTTATGCCGCATTTGAATTCGACTCTTAAATTGGTTATAAAATATGTCGTTGATAGCAACATATCTTACAGCTTTATGAATGAAGTACGACTGCGCATGGTTCTAGTTTTTACTTATCATTTCTACAATTACGAGTATTACAAGTTAAATACACAATTAATAAACTGAAAATTTTCACCAGTTCTTCTGCTAGTACCTGGGCTAGATCTCTTGTTCAGCTCAGTGACATCTTGTTCTTTTTTGTCGCAATTTTTATTCTTTCTTCAATAGACTCTTGAATATAATAAATAAATTAGCTTTTCAAAGAAGTTTGTCTACTACACACTTACTCTCATATCAAGAAAGGCTAAAATAACATCTTCAGTTATTTCCATAATACCTTTTTTACTTTTCCACGCTTGAAATGATACGTACACTTTCTCATTTACTACGACGCGCCGCAAATAATTTTTGACAAAGTATTTGATCAAAAATTCTCGCTTCGCTCGATATTTAATATGATCGACCTTGATTTTAAACTTTCTATAAAACACTTGTTGCCTTAATAGCTATTTCGTCGTATCTACCAATTATTTTGAAATAACAGAACCAAGTTGACTGATGTGATAAGCCACAAATAACCACCTAGGTCGGTTATTAAAATAATCGTACACGAGGCAACTTTTATTTTACACTCCTATTCAACCAATAGAATATCGACAACAATGGTTTTACTTGTTTTATTGAAAATCTAACAATGAAAATCTTAAATTAGATAAGGCAAAATTATTCTAATTTCAAAGCAGAATTTCGGTGCGAACAAGTACAAAAATTAAACACGCAAGTTGTATTACTACTTATTACGCCAAACGTCACTAACTGTTTCTGCAAATCTTCTTTAGAAATATCTTCTGTGGAAATAACATCCATGGAAACTTTTTCTTTTTCTAGAATTTCTTCTTTTTCTCGAATTTCTTCTTTTTCTTCTATTTGCTTAAAATTCTTTAAAATTTCCACTGCACTGTGCTGGAAAAGCTGTTTGGAAGTTTTAATTCTTTTGTTTTCCGATTCATCTATGTACTGTGCGGCCACAGCTGATAATTTCCAGCCTCCGAACTTCTTTAGAGTAAGAAGGTCTCCACCATTTTCTGCTAACATTGTGGCTGAAGACCTCCGAAAACAATGCCCGGTGTACTTTTCCGGATGGTCAAGTTGAAGAAATGTAGTCATCCTGTATAAGCAATTCTAAAAAATATGAATGCAATGATAAACCACAAGTATAGACCCATCATATTTTGCACATGTTCAAGAGAATTTATTCGGCAAAATTTTTAGTTGACGTCATCAATTTTTTGGAGGGGATAAACAGATATACTTTAATTACAGATTTACCATGCTTACAATAACTTTAAAACATTCGATTTTGCAGTTTCTGATTTAATTATTAACACTCCATTATTTTTTGAGTCACCCCGTATAAGCAATTCTAACAAATATAATTGGAATGATAAATAACAATAAGTATAGACGCATCATATTTTGCACATTTTAAATAGGATTTATTTGGCAAAATTTTGAGAGGACGGTCCTAAATGGATAAATTTTGAAAGACGATTTACCATGTTTCCGATACGATAACCTTAAAATTTTCCAAGGCTTCGGAGATTCGGATTGGCAATTTCAAAGTTAAATTGTAAATTTTTGTTATACAGTTTTGTTTTTTTTTTTACAAAAATCTGGATGCCTAGGGTAAAAACTTGAAACCGATTCATAAACTACAAGTGGAGATGTATCTTACTGTATAAAATTTAAATATCATTTGCCATTGTAAATTTCCAGCCATGACTTCAACGCAGTGATGGCGCGGAGGATCAGACAAATTTTGGTCAGCTTTTTATCATCTCCACGATATTCCTAATATACCGTACAAAAGTTGGCAACAATCGGTCCGAGAATTTAGAGGAATTACTATGTAATAAAAATCGACACAGACGCGGTCAGACGGCAGACAGACAGATGGAAACCAGAGACTAATGTTATGTTATTTCGTTTTTTGCGGGTCATAAAACGTCGAAAAAACATAAAAGTACCCAGTTGCCTGTTAAACTCGATACTCGATTACACTATTTCCACCTTTAAATTCCAGATGTTCGCGAAGTGCGTTGATAGTAAAATATTCATTATTATTGTTATATTTCCAAATTAGTCGTTGTAGATTTTTTCTAAAGTAAACATAAAATTCGTAAATAATCCATTTTGTGTGCTTGCATAAGTTTGTTGGATTTAAATTTTTCGAATGGATTGGCGTAAAAATTTTTCGATCGTTGATCTGCAGACCTGTACAATTTTATATAAATAACATTGAAATACATAAAAAATACAATTCGCCAAAGCAATTTTATATTTTTTTGAAAAATCTGGATGTTTTATTATACTTTAGAGGCGATGGAAGTTCTGTCGAAATAATCTTTAACCATTTTTTTTTATTTTAAAATCCATGGGATATGAACACAAAGAAGTTAACGGCGCAAAACTGTACATGAATGAAAACATGTCGTTGCATCAAAAATCACTTTTTTAAGAAAATTTTTACAATTTTAAAATTTCAGAGAAAATATAGGTATTGTTTGTTTATTTAAAGGAGAAATTGGCTTATCAGAATGGATCTTCCATTCATGGGTGAGCAGGTACATGAGACCGAATTGAAAAATAACCCCATCAAAATTACCAGTGATGATTAAAGGTTTACTATTTTGCATGGGAGGTGTTTTTTTTCTTTTGGCTTTTTAGAGGGTTGGGATTTTTTCCTAAACTGAAATAATGACAGAATACCTACCACAAGATGGAGTAGTTTTTCAAAGTTGGGTGAATAATACTAAACAGCTTATTCCTGGTTTGAATGTGTAATATGTGTAGTGGTTTTGGACAATGCACCATACCACTCGGTGCAGCTAGATACAACTCCTACAGTCTCGTATAAAGAAATTCAAATGCAGGAATGGCCTGTTATTATAATAATGGTGTCAACTTTGATAAATAAAATCTAACTTTAGCAGCCCAGCTTCCACATTTGTCACACTAAATATTTGAATTTATAACCTCATTTTTAAAGTCGTTTTTAAACTTAAAAAAAAAAAACAAGATATCATCAAGGTCAAACAAAGAGAGTTGAGGATTATTGTAAATCACTTCTACCTGAACATAATTTAGAATTTATGCCAACCTTGTAAATGCTTTATTTTGCCTTTTCAGCATACACACATATTTTCTATTAATATTAATCGTTTCTTTGACGATTTTTTTGTATTTTCTTCATTGCATTGTACGTATTGTTTTTGATCTCTTCAAACGGCATTTCAAAAAATAACGTTAATGGGATGGACAGAAGAAAAGACCAAGTGACGTAACCCAAGCATTCGAATATCTGCAAAATTAACGTTAGGCTCTCAACCCACAAAGCAAAGTTTTCTTACAAGTAAATAGTCGTTTAAAAAATTCGGTGTTCTAAGAATTCCAGCTTTCAGACGCTGAATAAATGGATGTATAAGGTAAGCACCATAAGTTAGTCGACCTAAAATGTATACTGGAGGCCATTCACAAGCTTTCTTTATTATACCTGGAACCAGTTAAAGAAAGAATTAATAAACTAGTATTTTTTGCAATCGTTTAGTAAATTGTTTTAAGAAGAATCTAAATAAAGAGATTGGTTTAACGAAGAAAAACGTATTAATGAGGATGGTGTTATAATTTATGCAAATACAGAAATATCCAAACAAAAAATTAATTGTAGCCCAGTACACAATTTTTAACACATCTCAAATTTGTTTTTTTTTGAAGTTAAAATAATAATACAGAAGGAAGAATACTTTATTACAAAATTTTTAGCTTGTTTGCTACTATTTCGAACAGTAGTTATTTTTTAGTCTGAAATTCCTTAAAACAATTCTAAATTTTTTGCAGATATTGTCAAAACTGCTTAGATCAAAAAATAACTTACCACCGTGCCCTTGCGTCATTCCCCACACAAACAGACCAGTACCAAAAGAAAAAACAGTTCTGCTTAGACAAATGTAGAGTGTATATAAAATGTAATTTTCGTGAAAAACGTTGATAATAAATCCTGGAAGTACCGTAGTACCAAGTGAGGTAGTTAAAGTTAGTACCCACCAAATTATAACATGAGTCTTCAATAGTGATCATTTATCAATTTAATTATGTATAGATTGGGAAATTATTTAGGAAGCTTACCTTTTTCGTCAACAATTTTGTATTTTTGTATTTATAAAATAACCGACCATATATTACCCCAGCAATAATCGCTGGTATGTTTGTCGCGGTAGCTTTAATGAGGTTAAGATTATCTTCCATATTAACCAAAGTTGTGTTGTAACTGGACCTGCAAATTAAATTCTCAATTTGTTTGTTTGTAGAACAGTTGATGTTTACTCTGGATCAACTTCCTTAAATTCTATCTTGAGAGTTTTGAAGAAAGTGTCAACAACATGAAACACCCAAAGGCCTAATAAAATCACTGGTCTTCTCTTTGGGTGTTTCCACAAAAACAACAGAATAATCAGCGCCAGTACACAAAACTGCATGTCCATGGCTATATGCCAAAGATGATTCGCACACTGAAAAAAATTTTGAGCAACTCTTAAGTCACAACACAATTCTAACCATTTCGTGAAAAGGGAAAATATTGCTGATGAACAAGAAATTGTTCCATAAATTTGATCGGCACAGATTATATTCAGTCCCGATGATCGAATTCCATAGAGGACCTTTAGAAATATGAGGCATCCATGTAGCTGCGAAAAGAATCGTAGTGGCCATTAGTGGTGTTAGTCTAGAATAGCAGAATTTATTATTAGAGAAAACGATCCAAATTTAGCCACCTGAGATATCTGCTGGTGATTTTTTGAATGATATATCTAAACGGCACTTCTTTGGTTCCCTCATTATCTTTGTAAAACTTGTAAGTCAATAACCAAATTGACATCAAGAAAAATGTTTGCATTGTCACATATCTGCTACCTAATCCCCAGAATTGATCAATTTTGCGGTCTCTGAGCTGAAATTAGCGCTTAGTCTAATGAGTAAAATTAAAAATTAGCGAGTACAGATTCCATGTATCGAGGATTTAAAATTGGTACCGCCATGTTTATGGTAAAAGTGTGTGCTATGATAACCCCAACCACGTTGTAGAACCGTATACCTTGTAAGGAACTAAGGGCTTTAGCATCCGGATTGTTCAAATTGATGGTTGTTAGTTTTTTCCAATTTCGAATAATGGAAAATGAAGAAAGAAATATACCAACTGAAGATTTGAGCCTGTAGAATATATTTTGGTGTAACAAGTTACTTACATTTTCTTGTTCTAAACTTTTCGTTGCTAAAATTGGGGCTGTGGTAAGCATCGTAGAGTGATGCTGTTATCACAAGTGCAATAATTGTTAACAAAATTATGCTGAAACGAATACATTAATCAATAAAAAAAGAAAAATGTGTGTGTTTACCCAACTATGTAATCATAAAAGTCTACAGGGTATAAACTGTCGCGAGTCTGACAATATATTGTTCGAATTCGTCCTTCAATACTTAATCTCTCAAATTTAGTACTGTAACAATCGCTTAGCTCCTTAATATAATGCACATTATTGTTTAAAAGTTCTAATTTTGGAATGTTTGGGCATCTTTGGCTAACGCAGATACCGTGTCGTAACAGGTCGTGCCTGTAGTAGCTTTGAGCGTTTGATACTTTCTAAAAATGCGTTTAAATTTTGTGAGCACTAGTCTTCTAATGATTTAGTAACCTCTATAACTTTCCAGGCGTCTGATGTATTTTCTGCAGTTTTGGGGTAAAGTTGGAAAGAAATTGAACAGTACAGAGCGTCTGGACCATGTAGCATGCACCTGTCGTAGTCGTCGAGATGAAAAACCTCTGGCATGGACGCATATTCTGTTTCTAGAATTTTATTTATGGGTATCTGTAGTAAGCAAGATATTCACGTACCGGTGACTACCCATATTTTTGTAAATAGAAGAGAAAACGCACGCCAATATTTTTGCATCCACATTTTGATTAAGTGGTGTTGGAACGACGTGTTTTTGTTAATGTTACATTGTCGTGAATAGTTACCTTGATACAGCACGTAGGCACTCGTTTAATGGCGCTTTGATTTAGCATTAACATGTTTGTTTTATTTTTTGGAAAATATTCACTCAACCGTATAATATAACACATTTCTGTCTACATTATTGTATTTTTACTTCTTGGTCGTAAGACAAGGATAATATCATATTTTCTCGATGTTTTATGACCTCAAGCAAAAAAACAATATACCTCCTGTGATCGGCTGGCGATTTTATCAGACAAATAATCTTCGAAACTGCTGGACTGGATTATCGTGTAGATGGTAAAACAGTAAACCAAATTTGTCTGATCACCCTCAGCAACAAACTGATGGAGTCAGCTCAAAATTTTCTTATTTCTTTTATGCTTGTGGCTTATGAATCCACCTTACTTTTTGTTTTGGATGTCCAAAAAATCAACATGTTACAATATAACTTTGAAACTGCAAAAAATGCATTCAATTTTTTTTAGATTTGCTTATAGGTGTAGGGAGACTCAAAAAATAATGATTGAAGTTTAGTTTTAGTTTATTCTACTCTATCTTGAAATTTCAAATTATATATTACAACTGCTTTTACTAGTAAATTATTTTATTTCTATAACCAGTGGTAATGACATTATTCGGTCTTCTTAAAATTTCTATTTTGTTCTTGATTTACTTTTAAAACATAACTCTTTACTTTTTCGAAGGGCATTTCAAAAAATAGCGATACCAGAACGCTCAACAAAAAGGACCATACGACTTCCCCGACCACGTCAAAGATCTAAAAACCAATTATTATAACATTACAAAACAAAGAACAATATTTTGTTACCAAGGAGCCATTACTGAAAAAACGCGGTGTTCTCATTATACCAATTTTGAAACGTATGATGAAGACGTGCATGAGGTAGGCTCCATAAGTTAGACGTCCCAGTATATACATTGGAGTGCTTGTGTAAAATTTTCTAATTAAGCCTAAGAAAACACTGCTTTCGTTAAATGTTCGAAATTGGTCGATCCTACATACCGCCTTGTCCAAGTGTCAGACCCAAAACGAACAAACCAAAACCAAAAATGTAGATAGTCCTGGTCAAACACAAACGAAATGCCAAGACTTCATTTACGTTATTTTGAAAAGTATCCAGTGCTAATCCCAAAACTTTGGATAAACCTATAATTGTACCCCAACTTAAAATCCACCATAATACTACATGGGTCTACAATTTTTAAACAATTATCGTGAACGATTTTTTTTCTTCACACTAACTTTATTTGTAGATAACTTTTTGTTCTTATACTTGTAGAAAATGTAACCGTATGTTATACCACCTAAAACTGCTGGAATATTGGACCAGCAAAGCTTGTAAACATTAAAAATTTCAACTAAATTTTCTTCATCAAACTGACTTTGGCTACAAAAAAGAAAAACATTTCTGTTACATTAAACCTCCAAAACTTACTTCGATAAATCAATAAAGTTTATCCTGTTATAGATTCTGAAGAAAACATAAATCACATGACAGATCCACATACTTCCAAACAGCCAAAACGTTTTACGTGGGTAGTGCCATATAACCCAGAGAATAATTAAACCTATCAAGTAAAGTTGTAGATCTACAGCAATGAACCACAGATGCGTCCCACACTAAAACAATTAATTAGAAATTTGAAACGACATCTGTAAAGCATCCTGCCATTTCCTGGAAATGTTGAAAATTATGAAGGAATAACAGATTGATCCACCAGTTTCTTCGACACATTTGATGTTCGTCTAAGACAGTGTGATCCCAAACTGGACCATCTGTTAGATGTGGCATCCATGTTGCGGAATATAGAAGTACCACAGCCATACATGGCGCTAATCTTAAAAAAAAACTTGTAAAACTTTTTTTTATATAATTCTACCTGAAATATCTGCTCCAGAATCTGCAAACAAGGTACGAGATAGACATTTTTCGCCTGACTTCGCATTCCTTCAAAACGTTGTAAGTTAACAGCCACGAAGAGATCAGCAGAATAGGCTGGACAATGTTGTAGTTAGAATCTAAACGAATAGCTTCGTCACCGAGATTGTTACTAAGTAGTAACTGAAATTTCTGATTTTAGTACTTAGGAATGGCAATAATTCAGTAGTTACAGTTTCCAAATATCTAGGATTAATAGCTGCAAATGCAAAGTTAATTGTTAGGCTGTGACTAACAATGACTGTAACTATGTTAATAACGCGGACACCTTGTAGACAACTGAGTGCTTCCATATCTGGATCTTTTAGGTTGACAGTCGTTAAACGTTTCAAGTTTTGAAAAATGGAAAATGCGGAAATGTATTTACCATCTGGAAGCATTAACTATTCAAAGTTTAAACGGATAAAAATATTAAAATTCTTGCTTACGGATAGTCTGTTCAAATTCGGTGTTTTTTAAATCTGGATCTTTAATTATATTATACAATGAGGCATAAAGTACGAGCAAAACGATGAACATCACAAGTGCACTAGAAAATAATAATTAGCATTTTACTTGAAAAAACAAACCCAAAAGAGAATCTTACAGATATAGAAAGTCATAATTATTTAAAAAAGTTGGAAGTTTATTCGTTCTACAACGTGTTGTTTTTATTTCTCCAACGAGACCCATTTTTTCGAAATTGGAACTATAACATTCACCCAGTTGTTTAATATACTTCGAGTTGTTATTTAGTATCTCCACGTTTGCTATATGTCGACATCTTTGTGTTACACAGATGTTATGTTTGAGTAGGTCATGTTTAAAATATTCTGTCGAAGACAAGGTTTTCTAAAATTTAACACTATTTATTATAGAAAAAAACTGATTTGTGGTTCAAATACCTGAATAATTTTCCAAACTTCTGATGTATTGTGTAAATTTTTGGGTGAGAGCTGGAACTCTATAGCACAGTACAGAGCATTTTCTCCATATGACATACAGGTATCAAAATCATCCATGTGAAAAAGTGGCGGCATCGAAGCATATTCACGATCTGAAATTTTCCTAATAATAATTTTTGGATATGTTTTTTATTAAAATGTTACCTACCTGATAAGGCCTTTGATTTTGTCAAAAGTAACAGCGCTGTAGCGCAATATGTATACAGCCACATGACAAAAAATATAAATGGAAATGTATGCCAGCATATGTTAGTTTCTATAGAACAAACAATGTAATTTTGCGATAAAGCATGCTTTCAATCCGTGCAAATTAACAGAGATTAGTAAAAAATAGTTTCACAAACTATGTATTTGGTAATAAATCGAACTTGTAATTCAATATCTTTCTCATAACATGTACTTGAAAAATTTCTAAAACTAAAAAAGAAATTACCACTATCTACATCTTAAAAATTTGTATATATGTATAGGGTGAGTTAGCTAAAAAGGGACACCTTGAATAACTTTTTTATTTATTATCCAAAAATAATGATATTAAACTTAGGTTATTATTAGTATTATACTACACCAACCCAAGTTGATATACATATGCCCTTGCAAAAGTATTGATGATATCACAAAATTTTGTAAAGAAAAAACTCTGTTGATGTATACGCGTAGCACGCCTTTTAACATTTACTTTAACGTTACATACATATCTTTATTTTAACTTGTAGGAGTTCTCTTTAGAAAGGATAAAATTCGCAAATTCAAAATTTTATCATTTTTCGAAAATGCTGTACGTCAGTGCTATAATAATAATAATCAGAACATTTTGTTCGATTGTAGCTTAATTAATAATTTTAGTTCCCTGTTTTGAGGCGACAAACTCATTCAAATCATACAAATTTTGCCATCTTGGTTTTTCGATTTTTAAAATTTTTCGATTTATAGATTTTCCGATTTCTCAACTTTTTCAACATTATCAGTTTTGGGAACTTTTCAATTTCTTTTTTCAATTCTGAACGCTTAGAATCGACATTGGCATGAGCGCGCTCTGGTCTGTCGATCAAACATGTTCCCAGGCGACGACTTATCAAAAATTGTTATCGCTAATTCCACTAGAAGTTTAATATTTTGTGCGAATGAAAATAATTGCCGAAATGTGTTTGCCGAATTTTATACAGACCGTATGCATTTAAAAAAGGCCTTCACATTTAATCACTTTTTCCAAATGGGGATATCAAAAAGGACAAATTATAACTGTAGAGAATGGTAATTCGATAGAAAGACAGACAAGAAGTGGAATTCCAGCAACAAAAATGGCCCAGAAGAGGAGAGAAGCCTTAATCAGTCAGAACCACGGCAGTAACCATGTATTGAAACATTATAACTAGTAATTTAGTAATATAATAGTGTAAATAGTGTGTCCTATTTTTAACATCCATACTCACTAACCACGGTAAACTTGGAATGCCATTTAGAAATTTTGGACAGAAATTTAAAATCAGCAAAAAGTACGTTACTAAGGGAGAATAAAATCATATTTGCAAAGCGAAAATCAATTCCCAAATGTTCAGAAAAACAAAAATTGGAACAAAAGCAAAAATTAAAAAAAAATTCTGAATCATTACACTGCCAACGTTATTGATGCATAAATGACTTATATAAATATTCAGTTTATTCCTAAGGACAAAAATGTTCCGAACGTCCCTCAACTGTGACCAATTGAACGCTTTTGAAGAAATCTAAAGTGGAATTTGTGTGAAAAATGTAGGGTAGGAACCCTTCACATATATAGAATTAAGCAGTGTGTATTGCTGAAAATTTGGCAGAAAAAAATATTGGCTTTCACAAATTTAATGCGGCGCGCCGTGTTAAAACAAAAATTTGTGAAGCAAGTAGATATGTTGCAAATCGTACTCTATAAAGTTGTTTTATAAATGTTAACAGTTGCAAGGGCCGGCTCAACACGGTAAGCGAAAGATGCACCGCATCGGGGCGCCCGTGACAAGGGGCGCCGGGCGGCTGGCGCCGCCTATGCTTTTATATTAACTGTATAAAAATAAATTAATATTACATTTGCATTCAATCACTACCAACAAAATATTATTGCAGTAACAGACCAAGGCGCCCATCGAAAACTTTTCAGAAAAAGCTATATTTTAACATTCCACTCTGACCACCAAAACAGATCCCAAGAAGTCAATTCCTGGCATTTTCAAACTGTAATAAATTGAAAAAGAGTGCGCCTTTGGGTTGGGTGATGGGACCTTTAGATCAATACCGACAAAAAATAACCAGATTTATGATGCATTATCTGGGTACAATTTGACGAGACAGCGGTATGACCACACAGCAGATGTTTTTCCTAACAATTGCCACGTTTGTTTTTACCATAAAAGTCTATGTCGGCATACTTAAAAATTTTATTTTCCAAGTCTAGTCGGTTGGTTTTGGTGGTGGTGGTTGTTCAACAGTTTTGTTATATTTTTCACTGTTCCTGTTTGTAGCCGAATTTGGTTCTGTGTAATTCTGTATCATTTCGTGGCTTTTTGTCATCATTAATTTTAATAATAACTTTGAAATCGTATCAATTTTACAATAGGAGCCGGGGTGGGTTAGTTAGCATCATGCTTGCCCGCTACACCTTGGGTCGTGGGTTCGATTCCCGCCATGGCTCTGGGTGTAACGTGTATGTCCCGTTCCCCTGTAGTTGGGCCTCGGTGCCTGTTGGGGGACGTAATGGAATCAAAAAAAAATAAAAAAAAATATTGAAAATTGAAAACATTTGCAATATAAATATTTTTATACTTATACTATGTATAGTTTAGGAAATATCGTTGTACCCTATAAAATTTTATTGACAATAACGAGGCGGACAGTAGTACAATGCTGAGAAATATTTATGGCTCACACTAGTCCCCCTGAATTTGGCGGAGAACATTTAGCAGGTAATTGTACGTACAGGGTCGGACTTCCGCAGCTTTAGAAATTTAAGGTCTGCGGATTACCTCCACGCGACAACTTTAAGTTGTAAATATCTCTTGCTATTGTACTACTGTCCGTCTCGTTATTGCCAATAAAATTTTATAGGGTACAACGATATTTCCTTAACTATAGAAAAGTTGTTGCCCGCAGCTCCGTTTGCGTGGAATTCGCAATTAGGACTCATCATTTTTCATACATGTTCGTTTTCCGGGTTGGAACCGTGTAAATTGAGTTTTTGGGCTCAACGTTTCGCACACTTTCGTAAGTGGCATCTTCGGGAGCAGGGTTAAGAATAAGGCAAAAGAGCACGGTAACTCAGTATGTCAACCATACCAGAGGCGAAACTTTTTTGATAAATTACACGGTTCCAACCCGGAAAACGATCATGTATTGATTCTGACCGTGGAAACCTCGGAAATTATCATTTTTCATCTCGTTCACTCCTCCCTCCCCAGTGAACCCGTCTGACTTAAAAACTCACGGGATTTCTGCATAAAGTTTCATCCCCTATTTTGTCCCCGTAGGGGCGGAATTTCCAGAAATCTTTTCTTAATGGGTGCTTATGACACAAAAGGAACCTACTGTTCAAATTTCATGTTTGTAGCTTCGGTAGTTTAGGCTTTGCGTTGATGAATCAGTCAGTCTGTCAGTTAAGACAAACACTTTTATATATTAAGATTGATTCATCATAATTTTATGCATGTTTGTTAAAAAAAAGTATCTCTCTACAAAAATATGTGATTATAAAACTTTATTTGTTTTGTTTTTACAAAAATTTTTTTAAGGGCGTTGAACAGTAAGTTGCATCGGGGCGCCTGGTCCCTTAGAGCCGGCCCTGACAGTTGCATTTTTAATTCGTCATTCAATAATAAAGTTATGGTTGTGTGAAACTTGCGCAGATTTTTGGTCCCCACACCCTTATTTGATTCGAGTCGCAAAGTGTCAGTAATTTTCCGCGCCGTCCGACTTGTTAAATTTCAAACTAAAACGGCTGCAAGAGCGATTCACTTACAGTAGTTGTGTTGTACAAGCTCAGACAACAACCCGTAAAATGGTGTTAGTAACAACCATTGAAGGTTAGAGGGCTTTTGTCGCATTTTGGGGCGGCATCTGATCGCCAATATTAACTCACTGGTACGCATAAGGATACGGGGTTGCCGGTCTTTTAAATAAATACATAGTCACTGCTTCAGGCGCGAGGAAAGTTTTGTGAAAGTAGACTGGGACAATTTGTTTTCTTTCTATCAATTATTTCATGTTTATGAGTGATGCATACATAGAACTCATTCAACAGTTTTTGATTCGCTCGTTTCTTTCGCAGTGGCGGCTCGTGGCCTTTTGAACTCGAGGAACACAATTTGATTGATGAAGTAAATATCATCTGCGTCATCTTCGCCGCGCGATCTCCTGCTGACGTTATCGAGTTACCTGAAATCGCCCTAGTGTACAGTTTGGGATATACAGCTTGCCCACAGCCCCCTCAAAAAGAGCATTGTCACGGCCAGAAGAAGAGACCTCCACATCCATACGTCACTGTTTTTCCATTGAATTAATCTCCCAACCCTTACCCGTCAACGTATTCTCTGTTTTATTTGGTTGCCACCACGGCCCCCACCGGTCGTCCAACAGCTTGGACACCCTTTTCGCGGCTTTTGCCAGCCTGCTGTGCAATGGTCCAAAGACGCCTCACCTGAGAACGCCCTCAGTACCCAGGTATATACCCCGGTACCTGCCACAGATTTTACACATCAACACTACTTTTACGGCCAGGTTCATTCTAACCTACCATCATCTTCTCCTCTTATCAACACCTTAACACCCAACTTTTATGTTTCATGTAACCCGAGTACTACCTTACCACACACTGCCCTCAAATTCACGATCGGCAGCTGAGATATGGTTTTGTCGCCTTTAAGACCTATAAAATTGTTACTGTGCATTCATACGAATTATGACAAGCTACCATCGGAAGTAAGAAATCAAACTAAACATTTGACTGTATTTAAAAAACTTCTCAATGTGGAATAAATAAATAAATGCAATAAATGGAAACAAACTCTTGCGACAAATACTTATTTCATGCACGTGCTACTCGAGCTCTTGCAACGATAATTCTTTGAACAAGGTTATCGCAATGGCTCTCGAAGTTGTTTATATTTTTGCCATAATTCAGTAAGGGGCCGGGGTAAACCCAGTGATGCATTTATTACTCAACAATAGCGATAAATTTCGTACTATTTCTAATTTTGCTTTAGTAATAAGATCATTAATATTTATATTAAATTTACTTTAATTTATAAATTAAAAAAATATGGCATTAATTTAAATGTAATATTGTACATAGTAAATGGGTTTTAATTGGTATAAAATAACATAGGCCTACACATATAAAATTATAATTAATATTATAAAGGGTTTTTCAAAATGAGTTTCATCTAGTTAGCTTTGAAATCGCTTCCCTGAAGAAAATCTGCAACCATAGGCGACTAGATGGAAATCGTTTTGAAACACGTTGTATATTTATAATTATATTAATAAATTTACACTTAAATGATTCAATAATTGTCAAAATGCAAAATCCTGTTTTGTTCAGAACATGTCATATTGTTCGAAGTTGTTGGAACAATCTGATCATGTCAATCAGAATAGGTTAGCACCAGTAGGTCAGAGTAGTGTAGGTCACTTTTCAAATAATGTGCGGATAAATGATCCGTAGTTACGCTAGACTCTTGGGGATGGGGTAAGATTACAGAATAATTGCAAACGAATTTGTATGCTGCAATTCTAGGATCTCAAAAATTCTATATTAATCTAATCAATGCATATTATTATTTACTGCCCGTAATGTTAGAAGTCTTACCTGAATGCCGGTCATTTCCGGGTCAGTGTTGGGTTCTAATAATATTATATTATCACTAATCAGTAATTTTGCAAAAATGTTTGAAATGATTTTTTCTAAAGTTCTGTATAGTCATTTTTCGTTACAAGTTATTAATGAACAACACGGATTCGTGAAAGGTCGATCCACTTGCACGAATTTGTGTGAATTTTCACAAATTGTTTTAAATGCACTTGCTAATCGTATGCAAGTTGACATAATCTATACTGATATGACAAAAGCATTTGATATAGTAGATAATGAAATTTTAGTGTGTAAACTCAGTCGGTTAGGTTTGTACCAAAGTTTACTGGATTTGTTTAGATCATTTTTCAGTAATCGCTACTAGTATGTCGAATATAAAGGTTTGTGCTCTTCTACATTTCCAGTAAGTAGTGGCGTGACGCAAGGGTCAAACCTTGGTCCCCTACTATTTAATATTTATATAAATGATGTAAAGTCTTGTTTTAGTTGTCCATTTCTTATGTATGCTGATGATTTAAAAATCATAAATACAATTAACTCTCAAACTGACTGTTTAACTTTGCAGGAAAATGTTAATAAATTTTTAGTTTGGTGCAAAAACAACAAATTATCTGTTAATATAAAAAAATGTCAGTCATTGACCATCAGTCGAAAAAATACTGCAATTAATTTTGTTTATACAATCAATAATGAAATTATAACCAAATCGTCTTGTGTACGTGATCTTGGTGTCTTAGTAGACACTACGCTTTCGTTCATACCACACATAACAAAAATTTCAAATGATGCACTTAAATTGCTAGGATTCATTAGACGGAATACGGCTAATTTTAGTAATATTGATAGTCTATTAGTTTTGTATTATGCACTGGTCCGAACCAAGCTTGAGTATTGTTCAGTTGTGTGGTCTCCCTATTATGATGTACACATCAATACAATAGAAAAAGTACAGCGAAAATTTTTTAAATACCTATATTTTGTTAAATATGGTAGATATCCACCACAACATTGTGCTCAAGCTGAATTATTAAAAGAGTTTAATCAAGTGTCATTAGCAGTAAGACGTAATTATATGTCTGTCGTATTCTTGTATAAATTAGTTAATTGTATATTCACTTCTGAATCTCTAACTGGACTGTTGCACTTTCATGTACCTCGTGCAACATCTAGGTTAATGTTAACCTTTGATTATAGTACACCTAAGACTAATCAGCATATGTACTCGCCTATACTTACTATGTGTAGGAATTATAACAATATTTGCAAATATGTAGATATATTTACTCATAGTTGTCCGTCATTTATTAGGGAATGCAAGAAACTCTTTAATTTAAATTAAAAAAAATATTTGTATTTGTATTTCAGAATTACTTTATTTATTTATTTATTTTTTTTTTTTCCTAATTATATGTAAGAAAGTGGTTTGTTTGATATTGTATCCTGTAATTGGACTTAGTGTTTGTTGGTTACAATAAATGGTATTATTATTATTAATAATAATGTTTTTTTTTTATTTTTTTATTTATAATAAATATTTTTCATCATACCTAACTGTTAAATAGACATATCATTACTGTTTCCTTTACCGTGAAGTGAGCTATAGCAGCCAGGGTCGTTATAATCGTTCAAGAAGCCTGTTTGTGAGTAAGTGTATTCCCAACGAAACCAGGAGCGAAAGCTAATTAGTCAATTACTTAATTTATGAAAAAAAAAAGTTCGTAAACTTCCACCGTTGTATAACTATTTAATCGTGTGATTATGTTTTGCAGTAAGTAGTTTGATACGACATACATCCTGTTTTAAATAAATAAATTTAAATAAGTGAACATACTTATATTTTAGCATAGATGCTTAGTAAGTATGGAAAATAATAAAACTTTACTATCATCGTTTGATCTTCTATTTTATGAACATACATATGTGTCTTGATGCTAACTTTTCATTTTACCGGTGAACCTTATAAAACTCAAATTTATTGAAAGAATATCTTCCACGACATCTTGATTTTAGTGGAAAATTTCAAACATATCAATTGTATCCCATAGATCCACATGTTGCAAAAAGAGAGGAGGGAATTGTGCAGAACTGAGAATAAACGTTTCCACTACAACACTTGTATACAATGTTATACTAATTTTTGCTCATATTTCTAATTTTTCCTCATATTTATTCCAAAATTTACTATTAAATTACCAGAGTAGTTCTTTATTTTAAGAAGTGTTAAATTAGCACAGCAACAATTATTATTATTTACATATACAAATAATTAAATATAAGGTAGGTATATACACTGTGATAAATGCATGATTTATTGAAAATAACAAGTTCGCAAACTCATTAAAATCTAATTACATTCGAGTAGTTTGGAAAAGGACCACTTTGGGCTACATATACTCTTTTCCAGGGATCATTTTGATAACGCTTAAGAAGTTCAGCGTCAGTTAATTTAGGTTTAGGGGTACTAGAACCAATGACTTTAGGTTCATCTGTGTGTGCGACTTCTGGCTTCGTTTCCCTGTAATCTTATTATTAAAAACGTTTTGTTTTCCAATTAAAAAGAACTTACCTTTCCCTTCTTAAACGTGAAAGTGGCACTATGTTATAGTTCTGATCATGTTCCACTACGGGCAAAGCTAATGTCACCGAAAGACAAACAATTATTGTAAGAACGATTAAAGTTCTCATTTTGGAGTTGTGAGCTGGGGCAGTCTTTAAACGAAACTAATTAACTGTCAGCTTGCGATGCAGTAGTTATTCGGACTAGATACAGTAGGAGTTCCACCATTTGCAAAATCTGCCACACAGATCTCAGCCACAGTATATCCGTAACGATACTTTAGCAATATTTGCGGAACGGGTGTGACCTTGGGAGCCGGTTCCCGGGAAACACAAAGATTCAAATATTTCGTAACATTCGTATAATACTAATAATTGTACACAAAAATAAAAATGGCTGGTATGTACTAGTGACATTGGCGATTTGTTTCTTTTTGTAAATTATTAATATATTCAAGCAAAACATTTTTATTCAATTTTGACGTTTTAAACTGCGTTTATTAAATCCTTAACAAGTCTGAAAAATAAGTTGTTATTCACAAGTGAATTGCAAAATTTTTTCACTCTTAATATTTTTAAATCACTCACAAAAAAATAAAAACAACTTCAGGAACATAAACATTTTGTTTATTATTTTTAATAGTTTTCACAGAATACAATTTGTTTACAATTTTCACTAACAGGTTGCTGCAACTAAATCAGTATTGTTTGGCATATTTGTTTGGCTCTGTGAGGCGTCAATTTGGGAATTGTATAAATCCCACACCAATCCAATTCCAAAAAGCGTTTCGGAAACTATTTACTGCAGATTATTTCGATACAAGTGCAAGAACCAACTGTGAAACACTATTTTATTTGAAATGAAAAATTTGCAAAGGTGTTCTTTTAAACAAACTTCCACAACACATCTTCCCTGTATTCCGGTCTCTTCAACAATCATTAAGTGATGTGAGTTACCGGAAACTCACCTTGAAAGAACACAACTGTTTATGGCTTATGGTATGTTTGTGGATACTCATTAATACGAAAATTCTTACACCACCACTTCTGTGAAGTTTGTGTGAACTTTGCACATTTTTACGAAGTGGTGGATCCTGTTTTAATTGTGTGACATTTTAAAGTCATCAATAAAGATGTGATTTTTGGCGATTTAATGATGCCACCTGAACATTTTGTAGTTTATACTTCGGTAATGGGTAATACATTTTGTGAGTTTTTCCCAATTTATGCACTGTAGTTGTTAACTGGTTTGCGGCTAAAAAATGAACCATAAAAAAATACCATTCCACCACCCCTGCAAAGACTTTCCTCTTGATTACCTCGTTTCAGTTTTTATTAGAGTTAGAATTTTGTACACACTAAAATTTAAAAATAAATCTTGGACCGCTCAAACACGCACACATCGAAAATTAAACTATTTCGTTTAACCTGCAGTTTGTTGACCTTTTTAGCCTGTAATTTTCTAGTATTTTTTACATGTATCGTAAGTATCTATTACTTTGTTAAAATAAATTTTACGTTTGTTTTTAACCCATAACATCCCGTATGATCCTGTAATTAATATGACATTTCTTGTTGACAAAACCAGACAAACCGATCACCGAAAACCTTAAAATGAAAAAGAAACTATGTTCTTCAAGGTCGGAGCACCTTTAGAGACGCTAGTGACCTCTTTATGTCGTTCCGTAAGCTCCCCATGTATTTCTTATGGGAACAGCTGACGCTTTCATAGCCCTGTCTCAGCTCTCAAGCATAAATTTTAAGTGATTAGTAAAAGCCAACAGGTATAAAATTGATTGGTTATGTGTGAAAATAAACGCTGATAATCAGGTGTTGATAGGAAGAAATTACCCATACAATTTTATATACTCGTACGTGGGCACTGAGAGGATTCTCATTGTTCTATAACACAGTAGCTGAAAAAAAAAACGTGGAAAAGTATAGAGAAACCAGCTGTTTCCGCTTAGACAATTTTTTATGCACCCATAAATTACGTATCTAAAGAACGATGGAGGTTCTACTATAGCAATCGTACTGCTTTGTAGGGGAATTTTGGAATACAGCGATGCTATTAATAGATAGTTCTCTAAATGATATAAAAATATTTTTGCGATAAGCTGTTAACAAAGATCGAACAATGAGTTTAAGGTCATGGTTGTGTACTTACCAAAGCCGCTATGCACAGCATACCAATTGTTTTTCATAACTCAACTTGTAATGGCCATTAGAAACAAATCTTTCCCTCCTTTTAGGAACGAAATACGTTGTATACTCTACAAAATGTTTAAAAAATAATAACCCACAACAAAAACTAATAACTTTCGAAACCACTGAATTCTTCAGTAAAGCTTTTGTAAGAATCGCCACCTCAGGAACAGTGTAAAAGGTACTAGCGATCGTGAGAAAAAAACATCGATTTGTTATTTTTACCTATTGCAAAACCGACTTGCGACTTTTATTTCTGTATGTGAAAAATTAAGGAAATAACACGCAAAAATTGTTCCATCGACTCCAAGTAAAAAGAAAGGTAGAAAAATTGGTCGAAGTTTATTTCGACAGAACTTCCCTCGCCCTTGAAGTATAGTGCAACAAATCCCGCTTCTGTGAAAAATTATAAGATAATGATATGATTTTAATTTTGCGATTTTTTTGCTTTGTAATAACCTCTGTAAAGTAAAAACCAGTGGAGCAAATAATAGCCCCGCAGCCCCTGTGTCGTGGGGGTGCAAATTGCAAGAGAGCACGGTCCGCACAATATAAAATATATTTAAAGCAAATAACTACCGGGAAAAAATGGGTTCTCAGAAACATGCTTAACTTTGCATGTTTATAGTTATACTTCGAAAGAATTCGACTATTAGCACTTTCTTAGCCAGTATTAGCGGAGGTTACAAGGCGAAAACATAGCCTCTCTTGCCTTATGTCAATTCCACATTTTAGCTGGTGCAAAGTTGTTGTCATAAACTAGAGCTCTATCGAAGACGCACTAAGTCTTCAATTCCTAATTCAAGGTTTGCAAAATTTGGCACCTTGTAGTTGGGTCTCGGCCAGCGATAGCCCCCGGGGGCGCTAACCAAGCGGTTGTGAGGGCGGGCACATAATTGTACGTCGCTCGCCACGGAGAGCCTTTGACAACTCAAGGAAAACGGAAAAGGTCAGGTGTGGAGTGGCAGTACTCCAGTACAGTACAAGTCGTCGGACCGATGGTGTCGTTAAAAATCTAGTACTTCGAACAGGTTTGCTTGGATAATGGTCCTGATTTAGCCTTACCCGTACGGGAGGCGAAGAGACAGTGTGCTTTTTTAGAGCTTGGGATCCACATGAAGAAGACAATTTGTGGACTTTTCCTTTTTTCAATCATGTTTTTGTGCGACAGGCGATGAATTTGTGTGGTACCCCATCTGGTAGACTTTCTAGAGCTTATTACTTTAATATTAGTAAATCTCCCATGTTTTCATCAAGGCTATCGCATTCATTCTACACAAGAATTGTGCATGACACATGTTAAGTTTAAACAAAAACATCTTTACATTTATTGGTATGAACACGGACTTGTATTTGTGTGACTATACCTATTTGCATTTCTGGATTTCTTGCTTCGACAACTATTTTGTCTTATGCGACGTATCTGGCAAAGGTGGTGATTTTAACACACGAAGCACAATTTCTTTGATCGGCATTTCAAAAAACAAAGTTAGAAATACCGACATTAAAAATGACCATGCGATAGACTCTACGCAGTCAAAGATCTAAAATCGAAAGGGTAATTTAAACCAGAACACAAGACTTTGTTTACAAGTAAGTAGCTGTTTAAAAAATTTGGTGTCCTTATTAGTCCTTTCTTAACACGCAGTACGATGGGATGCATGAGATAGGCTCCATACGTCAGACGTCCTAAGATATTAACTGGTGACGATTTACAAATATTTCTAATAATACCTTCAAGAAAAAAAGATGAAGATTATTTAACATAAGTATAAATATCTTACCTCCATTTCCTTGTGTCATTCCCAGAATGAATAATCCGCAGCCAAAAACATAGAGCGTTCTACCTACACAGACATAGAATATGTACATATCATTTCCACGTTCTTTAAAAGAACGTAGAATAATCGCAGGAAGTGTTATAGCAATCAACATACACGCCCAACTTAAAATCCACCATACAACACGATAAATCTAAAATAATATTAAACATTATAAAGTAATATTCCAAAAGACAGTTAGTCGCTCCGACGCGAGGATCAAGTACATCACTGCACTGGCGGTTCGCCGCCTTATCCGCAGGAATTCGCTCTCTGATCGACGTTTTAGAATTTGTTAACATTAAGCAAGAAACAAGTACCTTTTTGGTGACAATTTTTCGGTTTCGATATTTGTAGGAAATAAAACCGTAAACCACACCACCTAGAACACCAGGGAGATTTGACGAAGCTAGTTTATAAACGCGCAGAACCTCCATTATGTTGTCTGATTTTTGCAACATTCGCCTTAAAATTGCACATTAAATAAATTTGCTTTGTTATCAAGATTAAACATACTCTGGAGAGCGGTCTGTGTAATTAACTTTACCGTAAGTTCGATAAAACGTGTAGACTATGTGATAGGACCAAATGGATCCTACAAGCCACCCCGCTTCTTCCGGGGACTTCCACAAAAACCATAAAACAATTAAAGCCACCACGTAAAATTGTATGTCAACAGACAGGGACCACAGGTGAGGTGAACACTGGAATGTTTATAATAATTAGCGCAATTTAGGGTGCACAGTCAAGAACATCACCATGTCATATGAAGGCACGAAATTGTTAATGTAAAGCAAATTAGTCCACCAATTTTTGCGACATATGTTGTAATCATGCTCTACGATTATTCCCCAAAGAGGTCCATCTGAAATATGTGGCAACCACGTCGCTGTAAAAAGAACTACTACGGCCATACTTGGAGTAAGTCTAAAAGAGAATTTTAGATATTTATGTCGTTATAAAACAATCATACCTGAAGATTCTGGAGCAAAATTTTTTAATACAGTACGATATAGGTACTATTTTCTTGCCTTCCGAGTCTATGCAAAAGGTATAAGTTAACAACCAGGCCGATATTAAGAAGAAAGGTTGTAGAATTGTGAATTCGATACCAACAAAAAGAAAATGAGAAGCTCTGTTGTCTCTTTGCTAGAATAAGCGACAATCAGAAAATATTTCTGTCAGAAGAAAAATATATACAGCTTCCATATGGTGAGTATTCAAAATTGGCACCAACACATTGATCGAAAAACTGTGAATAGCAATTACGATGATGGTATTAAAGAAGCGTACACCCTGTAGACAAGTAAGCAATTCGGTGTCTGCGGTTTTAAAACTGACGGTTGTTAAACGTCTCCAATTTTGCAAGAGAGAAAATGAACAGAAAAATTTACTAACTGAAATGTAGCTTTTTAAGATCCTGGTCAATATTTACTCGTATATGGTGCTACTTACAGATATTGTTTGTTGTATGTTGGCCTTCAAATTGTGAACCAGACAGTGAGTCATAAATGGAGGCACAAAGTACAAGTAAGACAATAACGATCACACAATTCCTGAAAATTAATTAGAGTAATTTATCAATAAGAAACTATTGCAAGAAAATTAATATTCATTGGGACAGTATATACTGGAAATTTAATTTTTCTTGAGATGATAGCCCAGAACTTTTAGTAAATATGTTGTTATCTAACCAAACTTTGAAAGCACCTGCTGTAGGTGCGCTTGGAAAGCAAAAACGTCCCGCTATATGTATATCTACGTCCCCTACATATCCGAATACACGTCTTCTTTACCCGAATATTAAGTCTAAATTATTAAGAGAATATGATGACTTCTGCGTTCTACATGTCGTGATCTCAATTTCTCCAAAAATCCCACTTTCCTCGAAAGTAGAACTGTAGCACCTACTCAGTTGTTTAACATATTTCGAATTGTTTTTTAGCAATTCAGTTTTTGGTATGTCTGGACATCTTTCGGTCACACAAATTCCATGCCTAAGTAAATCGTGCCTAAAATATTCTGGTGAAGATGAAACTTTCTAAAATTCTTAATATTTCAGACGGAAAAAGTTAACAGTGGCTACATACTTGAATAATCTTCCAAACCTCTGATACATTCTTTGAATTTATAGGATACAATTGAACGTGTATTCCGCAATATAAAGCATTTTCACCATACAACATGCATTTATCATAGTCATCTAGGTGGTAGAGAGGCGGCATAGAAGCATATTCACTGTCTACGATTAACAACTACTTAATTAAATTGAAATCCTTAGTGGAGCAATCTATAGCAGAATTATGGTAACCTGAAATTTTTCTTCCTGCTGTGAAAAATACTAAGCACTCAAGAACAAAAATTTGCAACCACATAGTTAAACTATGATTCCAAAAATGATTCATTTACTTGTTACAAGGAACCGTTTATTAGTTTTGTGATAAAGCACGGACTATACTTAAGTAAATCGTACAGTGATCACGTATGTAAACTTTCGTGAGCACGACCTCTATTATTTTTTACTACAAGGTTTTATACAAAAAAAAATCAATGCATGTCTTGAAAATACAGTTATATATTGTTAAAAAGTTATTTAAGGCTGAAGTACATAATATATTACAAAATATGATTGCGGCAAGAGCAAGTTTCCACAACGAACGAGTGTTATAATGACCTGACAAAAAAGTTTTTATATTATTTTTTTCTACTGAGGAAACTTAATGTCTTCATTTTCAAAAATCATCAAAATCAATTTAGTTATTTTGACAGTCTTAGTTGGCAGCCATTCAAGTTACCGTTGAATGTTGTCATGAGCTTCAACATATAACCAGTTTGACGTTAAGTTAAAAAGAAAACAGATTTGCGTTCTAATTCTGCACAAATAACATGAAAATTCCTAGATGTCAATTATCTGTCAATCATACCATATAATAAAGTCAGAAATATCAAAAATCACAAAACAATGCTTAAGAGAGTCTTTTAAAGCATGTTTTCAGTTGAAAGTGGTGTTTTAATGATTTAAGCAATTTATTTTATTGATCAAATCAAGAACGACTCACTGAATTTTCCCGAAATTTTGGAAATACAGTGGTATTATTAGTGCACTTACCTATATAAATTGATGTGTCCTTGCTAAAAAATTGATGACGGCATTACATCTTTTATGGAAAACTCACTTGAAACAGATGCATCGCATGCCTCATTTGTCACCAATTAATAAAATTTGCTAAATTTAATTTTAAAATGCATTTAAGAAACTGGCTTTGTTTGATTGTACTTCAGAGACGAGGAAGTTTTATGTAAACAACTTTAGACCAACAAATTGTTGCTAATATTGTGTCAGCACTTTGTTTGCAGTTGCTGATCAAGTGATCAAACTACTTTATACACAAATGGGCTTAGTTGTTCTACAAAAATACAAGTTCGTTTAAATATCGTGATAAATTATTATCTTATACGATTGATATTATTTAGAAACATTATTAATCGTTTGGTAAATACTTCACGATGCAACCCAACAAGGTAATCTAAGTGATTTAACCCATCTAATTTCCAGTGTCCGTAAATTTTAACTTGTGCAGGAAGTTCGTTAAATAGATCTTCAGAATCCTAAAAAAAAAACAGAAGAGAATGTTCACAAGAACTAAATCGTACTCGTACCATCTTTGTACACAATGAATCTCCAGTACTTGACACAAGTAATATAGGCACGGAAATGTTGTGTAAAGGATAAAGAGGAGGTATTACACTTCCATACATTTTTAAATTTTCACTCTTACCATAATCGTACATTTGAAATCGGCGGTGGGTGTTGCTAATTTGTAAAAAATGTATGAAGGTTTTTAACGAGAAATTATTTCCGTAAATGAAGGCATTAAAGTTGAAGAATGTCTAAAATATGATTAATTTAAAACACTTCTTTTCTTTTAAACCATACGCACTGGATCAGTTCTGTTCGGAGTGAAACCGCAAGACATCCAAATTATTACTGCTGTTATGAGCAATATGATGGGGAAAGATCTTAGGATAATTCTAGTAAGTGGAAGCAGATAAGGAAGAAAAAGTAATGGGCTTCCTATCTGTAAGAACTTAGAAAGTCTCTGAAATCGTAGATAAAATAAACACGATCAGTTAAATTCACTAGTTATACCTCAAGTATTGCTGCAAAAGGCTTCAATACCGCTACAATACTAGTAGCATATGTAAAGTATGCAGGAGGTGCTAAAAGGATCATTGTGTGTAAGTAATTTTTGGCTTCCTCAGATTGTAGTGAAGCGTACATTAGTCCCACTCCTGAGCCCAAAGAATGTCCTATAAAAATAATCTTCGAATTATTAGTTTTTTCACTGATATGTCGCAATTCGGCGCTGACATCATATAGAGCCATTTCGTGCGCACTAAAACAATTATTAGTGAATCTGTGGGAAATAATGTAATAATAATTTACCCAAAATTCCAATAATTAAAATCGGAGGTCGTTATATTAATGTGTCGGTTAGAATAAGAAGTTCCTCTATGATTGGCTAACCAAACGTCGAAACCATTGCGCCACAAAGTAACTGCTAAAATGTTAACTATACAAGTAAATAAAAAATAAAATTCACACACTACTGCATTACTAATATGTATTGTTTTAAAGCAAATTTTTTCAATGAATAATAGATTTTTCATTTTTCTTTATACTGCTTCCATGGTTCAGTTGACCGCTAGACACAAAAATGTTCAAAATATAGCTACAATGGAAATTAAACCCACCCTTTTTCTATAATCAAGTAAGACTACATATACGCCAACAAAGGTTTATTTATTAATTTTTAGTAAAGATTTTAATTGTAATAGATGCAGTGAAAATACACTTTTGGTGGGAAAATTGGTCAAGGTTATCTAGACAGAACTTTTCTTGCCCCTGAAATACAGTCAGCATAACCAGCCTTTTCGAAAAATGATAAAATTTGATTTGAGTTTTATTATTATTTTTTTAATGATAATCCCTCTAAGATACAATCAGTTTTGCCATCACAAAATGGGAGACATATTGTTTCATACTCTAGAGGTCATGAAACGTCAAAGAAACATGCAAGATTGTTGAAATTTTAATCCCGTACTAATTTATTTATTACTTCCTGAGCGTAAACGAGTATTGTAATAAATAAATTAGTACGAGAATAAAATTTCAAGGCAGTTCCTTATTACAGATCTAGCAGTGCATTATTTTTCACAGTCTAAATAGTATTTGCCAGTATTTACTATGCAAAATTCTGAGATGACGTCATCTAATTTTTCGTGAGGCGACACATTTTGGTTAGTGTTTATAGAGTAATTCTAAAGTAAATCTAGAATTTCATAGTAAGTAAACTATTTGCTCTTAGTACCAAAGACCTAACGAATTTTTCTCTTGTGTGTTGCTGAATTAATCAACGGCCAACGAAAGCCAAGCTTTATAGAGGGTTAATTAATGTTTGACATAAAAATGTCACCCAGTATCTTACCAAACGAATGATTTCCTTGCCATAGATAAATCTGGGACGATGTTGCAATAGAGTGATGGACTAAAACAACACCTTTAGGGGTCTTTACAGGTATTCGAAATAGGGTAACCATGTAACCATCTTCAGATATTACTGTATGGGTTTCAACAACGCCCGCATATTTTTTAATAAGTTGCGGCTAAAAATTGTTTTTTATGTAACTGATTTTTCTATAACATACATAGTACATACAGTTTCTAGTTGCGTGTCTGGATCGTAATAGCAGTCCATGTTGTTCTCTGGAGAAAAGTAACCATTGAAACTCTTACACACGTTATTTTGTCTTAAAGAAGATGCAGGAAGATTAATTGATAACAAAACCATTAAATATTTCGACAGCATGTTGGATATTTTCGTTTAACACATGCTAAAATTCTAAAATTATTAAACGAACGCCTTAAGCAATTTCAATTTTTACACAAGGTAAATGATGATTACCTTCGCAGTTTTTATGTCGATATTGCGCACCATTATAAATAAATTACCACAACTACATCTATTTGTCATATTAAAGACATCATTATACTTTGGAGACAAAATAGTCGTTTGAATTACCTGACTTATGGAAAGTGTAACCAGTTGGTGCAGGTTAAAACTTTCATCCAGAGGCGACGATCTCGTGAACTGCACTGCTGCACTTCAAACAGTTTTGAAAATTGTCAGCCTTCATGTCAAAATTAGAAAAAGAAAATCGTTTTCGATAAAATTTCAAAAATACGTTACATTACACTATAATTCAAAAGGGTTCGGCAGCCATTAATATTCGGAGATTGATGATTGATTTAAGAGGAGGTTTTCGTCAAGCCATTCATTCGTTTCTCGAACTGGGACATCTGTGCATTCTGAGGGACGTAAACATTTTCGGGGGGCAAGGTGACCGGTAGTCAATGCAAACACAGAAAGATTCAACTTAGTTCGGGTACCGTCGTCCAACTCCGTATCTTGACGTATTTCCAGCAGAGTGAAGGAACGCCGCCAGGCCGGCAAAGATATCAGTTTCATGTTTCACACTGGTGTAAGGTGTAGGTAGATTTTACCACTTCAAGGCTCAAGGTTACGAATAAGTCAGGGGAACATCGTGTCGAGTTGTCGACAACAAAATTTAATTTTACGTCCGAAAATATGGTATACATTTTAAATTTATTTTTGTCCGAAATTATGGTACATATACATTTGTAACTTTAGGGGAGATATGTCTAATACGGCATACTTTTTAAAAAAAATCATTTTCACGTATAAAAAAAAACATAATCTTTTTCTGATTTGTGGCACATGTTAGCTTTATCAATTAAGTTTGAAGTTCAGTTATAACATATATTTAATCAAGCACTACATTTTTGCAACACTTCAAAGTTTTGGAAGTGACAGAATCTATATTACCCTGATGTACGGTGTAAAATGGCATAGGAATAGGAATAGGAATTTTAAGAAGAAATTCGTATATATTTATTAATTATAACAAAAAAAATATTAAAACCAAAATATTACTTCAATAATTAGAGAACAACACAACAAAAATATGAACTAAAAATGTAAATAATATACAAAATATAAAAAAATAACAAAAAATAGGTTCTACCGACGAACTTATTCATTCTTCGCAAATTTCGCAGATAAACTGCTTCGTTTTGGGACTAACTCCTGAGCATTCGACATGGGACCATTTTTTGCAGCTAATGCACCTTATCCACTTCTCACCGGCTCTAGATCTCTTGTAACTATCATTGCAATAAAGACAACACGCATCATCTTCATCGTCTTCGAAATCTTCCCAATGATCATTTTCTTCACTACTTGTATCACACGTAGGTTGGAACAGTTTATGTTTGATTATTCTAGCTGACGCTCTCAACGTTTTTTTCTTTTTATTCGCTTCTTTATCTTTCAGTTCCGCAATATAAGGGCTTTTTGTTAAAACTGCAGTTCCCTGTGATTGCCGTTTTTTGCTTTTTTTTCCAGAAACCGTCTTCTCAATTACAGGTATAGGAGACAGTAAATTTAGACACTCTTTTATGGAAATATCGAGATTAGACTTGCCCTCACTACTCCTATCTTTTCCAATGTGAATTTGATAATTATTTTCGAGTGATGAGGAACTAGCTTGGTTTATATTATCACTTTTATCAGTTTTCTGGTTAATTTCAACTATTTCTTTTTTTTTTACTAGCTGTTTCTTGTTTATCAAGTACGACATTTTCTATAATTTCTGCCCTTTCACTGTTTACTTTCTCATTATTATTACTATTGTCAACATTTTCCTCCACAGTAAAGTTAGCTTTGTTGGTGTTTTCATCATACCAATTTTGATTGTCAGTAACTTCACTTGGTGCGTACAAATGGTCGGGGAAAATGTCTGGATTTAATGGTGATATGCCCGAACTTCGAAAACCACTTAAAGCATTTTCAACAGTAGCAGATTTTGAATAAGCAGCACAAAATAATCCACTTATCTGGTATAAAGTTATTGTTCTTCCCACATGATTTTTCATCCAAAGGGCACATGCTGCATTGAAATAAGTTTCCAAAGGGCCAAAAAATGAGACATCTAGCGGTTGGAGCCGATGTGTACAATGAGCTGGTAAACATAACAAAACAATGCCGTGTTTCTTGGCTTTTTCAAGAGCATTTAACGATTTGTGGCTGCTGTGTCCATCCACGATTAGTAGAACTTTTTCTTCTTTTGATGGTTTCACGTGGTTAATGAAATGATCCATCCATTTACTGAAAAGGTCTGAGACCATATATCCAGTTTCATAACACAATCCTAACGTTTCAGGCGGGCATCCATCAAAATACTCAGCTTTATAGTTTTTCCTTGGAAATATTAATGCTGGAGGAATAAAACGACCACCAGAACTCATACAAGCCACTACTGTTACATGTTGGCCTCTTTCGCCACTAGTAAGAGCGCCTACTTGTTTTTTTCCTTTGCGGGCAAATACCCTTGGAGGCTTATGTACTGTTGTCAAGGCAGACTCATCCATGTTATAAATTCTACTAGTAGGAATATTTTCATTAGTCATGGTGTCAGTGAGTAAGTCAAAAAATTTCTTCACCTGGACTTTATTAAAACCTTTGGCTCTTGCTGCTGACGTCGCTTCTGGAGCTCTAAGTGATATTTCCGGATGTCTTCGGCGAAACCCGCTTAACCAGTCCCACCCCGCCAATTGTTTTTCTGTATTAAATTTATGAGAATAGCCTCTCTCAGTTGCAATTTTAAAGGCCAGCTGTCTTAATTCAAGAGCTGTAACACCAAATAATCTTGATTCTAAATCAAGAATATGATTAACAATTTCTTGCTCAGCTTCAAGTGGTATTGTCGTGCTCGTTCCCATTCCTTTTTGGGTACCTTTAACACGTTTATTCATATTATTTACCCGGCGTCTTAAAGTCCCAAATGGGACATTGTACATTTTAGTGGCTTTAAGCCATCCCATGCGTTTAGCTCGCACCGCATCTATAGCTTGAAGCATGTCGGCCTCAGACCATTTCTGTCGGTTTGTTTTACGAATATAATTATTTCCCATACTGCAACATAAAAGTCACATTATTGTTATTTTAGTAAGAATTTAGTTATTGTCGGGAACATATTCGGGGAATACGGCATAATATGTCATTTTACCCTGATTCCCTGTGTGCCATATTGCCCCTACCGTAGGTTATGGAAAGTTAAAGCTGATATTTTTTTAGGTTACGTTTATTTACAAAACTGAATATGGGTTAAAAAATACACATTTTTAACTGCTCTACGTTTAAATTTGATAAAGTAAAAATCCGTTTAACGAAAGTTATAGCAAATTAGATCCGTTTCAAGAAAAATTTATATTTACCTTCGAGAAAAGAATCACATGTCACCTGCTTCCAACACCGATCACAGCCATGACTGTTGGATACATCTTCACGCAAACAAAAATTCGTTATAGTTATTGGCGCCAAGTTTAAATTTTCTTTTTAGTTTCCACAATACACATGATATGCCATTTTATCTAGTATGCCGTATTAAGCACAATTCCCCTATTTAATAATACTATTATAAAGACAATACATTTCAATGTATATGCAATGGGACTTTATTTAGAGCATCTGGGGAACATAGCAATCTCATTGGTAACCTTACTTATTATAATAAATAATTTATTTAATTTAATTATTCTTGTGTCGATTTATTTTGTTGTTATTGTAGTAATTTTCTTGGTCACTTTTTTAACAGAAACGAACGTAGATCTCAGTCCACTATTTATATGATGTTCCATTATTACACAAGTTGCAAATAAAATTACTTGATTATAGTTTGCTGGTCATCACTCGTTAATTATAATAATTTTGTAAAATGTATACCATATTTTCGGACAGAGGGAATACAATTTAATAAGTTAAAATTTAACATAATACATAATAATAATTTAACATAAAAAAATATATTAAATGAAAAATATTCTTTAAAAGGTTCATGTTTTTTTATTTAGAAGAACTTATACGAACAAAATACCAAAACGTCAAAGTGTAAATGAACAGTAACAAAAAAAAAAATAACTACCATCTACACCGACCGGCAAAAAAATTGCAAAATTTCACAAAACCACTTTAAAAATTATTAATTTAACTAGTGATCGTTATTTTATTAAAGTACCATTCACTATTGATACATGTTGTAATTAATTAGCAAAAAAAGAAGATATATAAACATTATAAACGCAGAATTAAATTAAATTTAACAAAATAACAAAAACAGACCAAGTACGATATTTTCTTAAATAAAACAATAAAGGAAGCTGTTGCTGTGAACAGTGTTTTTCATCATTTGATTATAAGTTTGGCAGTTAATAAACGTTTTCACGCGAAAACAATGCCGTTAACTCTTACAGACGTCTCTCAAATTGTCGCTGTTTCTGTTTTGTTAAATTTAATTTAATTCTGCATTTATTTGTCTTCTTTTTTTGCTAATTTATACATCATTTGTGAATAGTGAATGGTTCTTTAATAAAATAACGATCACTAGTTAAATTAATAATTTTTAAAGTTTGATTTTGCGAAATTTTTCAGGGTGACCGGTTTTTTTGCCGGTCAGTGTATATAGTAAGATGATTCACGTCCCACTACTCGGAAAATTTAAAAATAATTCGTCCCTGCAGAACAGTACAACATATCCAACTTCTTCGGAAAATTCTAAGACTTGATTTGGCAACTATTATTACTTTTTTACGATAATCCCTGTAAGTTAAATTAAAAATATGTATATAATGTTAAAATAAAGCTAAAGAAGCATGCTATGTTTATGTTTCAAGTCAATGTTTCCATCACAAAGTTTTCTGTTGACGTCATCAACATTTTTGGAAGGACACTTAGTATATCAGTTTGGATGGGTGCAGTGTAATACTAATAATAACAATACTACAATAAAACAATAATAAATAATTGGAGATTATCTGTCTAATAAAAATCAACACAGATGGCGGACAGACGTCAACATACTTAAACGGGAAACCTATTTCTTCGTACTCTAGGAATCATAAAACGTCATGAAAACATGAAAGTAGCCATTTGTCCCATGGAACTTATTACAATATTTCCTTAGCTTATGCTTGGGAAGGAACAATGTAAGATAATAATCTGGCACCAACAAAAGCAATCAAAAGAATAATCTGGTTAGTATTGGACATACAGCCGTCGCACTCATTCCATATTCTATGTAGGAGATAAAAAGAAAGGCAGCCTGCTTCGACAGTGCCTACAAGTGAACAATTTTTGTTGACGTTGTTTCTTTGTTCTCTTAGGGGTATTAGTTCAAGTAATATATTGCATAATTCACATAAAAATTCCCCAGTTTTGGGTCAATTTTTGTGTCCCAGAATTCTGTGTCTTTTAAAATACTTTCAGTATGAATATCCTCGGGCCTCCAAAAGGCAAAAATACAACAGCTTTTTTTGTTACTGCTAACTGTCCTTGTACTTGATAATAATAAGAATGACCTCTCGAAGAATTATGTCCCCGTTTCCGGCTGTATGTCTGTCCATCTATCTGCCGTCATGGTAACTTTTTAATCAAAATATAAGTATCTGTTTATCAACTCCAAATAATTTATTACGTCATCTCACAATCTTGGAGAATAAATTCTTTCGAAAATGTGCAAAATATGATCAGACTATACTTGTAGCTTATCATTGCATTCATATTTTTTTTATTTTCTTATACAGGTGACTCAAAAAAATTATTGAATCAGTCAATTTATCATTGATCAAATTAAGAACGAGCCACCCCATTTTCTCAAAAATGTGAGAATACGCTCGTCTTTGTAACAATAAAATAATGATAAGGTAAGAATTATCATAACAACATTTAGAATATTTTGTTCAATTCAGTTTTATGAATAATTTTAGTCGTATGTTTTTAGGCGATAAACTCATTGAAATCAAACAAATGTCTACGTGACATTCTTCTGTATAAGCATTAACATTTTTATTAATACGCATATTGCACATTTAGCTTTATTCCCGTTATTAATGTGCTGTAAATATATTTTTTTGTCCTCATGACCTTTTTTGATGACTTTCGCGCATTCACCAGGATGCGATAGGTCAAACTTCCAGCACACGTGCTTTTAGCTTTCCGTTGCCATAGTAACCTTAAAATAGGTCGGAAACGTTAAATACCTAAGTATTTACGGCGCCGTCAATATCGTTGTTTATAAATAACTCACAGTTAATGTTTTCGGTTTAAAAGTTTATTCATCGCGTCGACAAATATTTTGTGTGTTTTCGGTGTTGTGGTAATACACGTTCTATGAAATACAAAATGTTCAACAAATTATAAAATTTAATTTGCAAATTTTATTTTTATTTCCTGAGCGTAAGCAAAGAAAGTATTGTAATCGAGTCTATCGGGAGGCGACTGGCTATTTTTATGTTTTCTCGACATTTCATGACTCATAGAGTATGAAAAATTAGGTTTCGTGGCTCAGTCTGTGTACCGTCTATTCAAACCTTTATTAGGGAGATAATCTCCAAAACTACCGGACCGATTGTATTTTATACATTTTATATATATGTATGTTAAGAATATCGTGTAGATGGTAAAAAGCTAACCAAAAGTTGCCCAATCTCCCTATCAATGTCATGACATCTCAAAAATGTTTATAACAAAAAATCAAATTTTTTAATTTTTCAAAGAAGCGGGAGTTGTTGCACTGTACATCGGGGGCGAGAGAAGTCCTGTCGAAATAATTTTCGACTAATTTTTTAGATTTGCTTAAACAGGTGACTAAAAAAAAAATGAATACGTCAATTTATTTTACACTGCACCAATCCAAGTCGATGTACGTGTCCTTGTAAAAATGTTGAAGACGTCATCACAAAATTGTGTAAAGAAAAAATTCAACTCGAAAATGCTTGATATGTTTTATTGTACTTCAGGAGCGAGGGAAGTTCTCTCGAAACAATTTTCGACCAATTTTTTATTATTATTTTCTTTCCATTAAAATAGTTGATATAATTACGATGGAAGTATCTATTCCGGCTCCCAAATTGCTGTGTTCAATTAAATCTAAAGCACTGGAGATATAAGACTATTTCTGGAAAGATTTTTTATGTTGCTGACTTGTAACGCTCCGCCATGCCGATGATAATGTGACAAAAGTATTTCAAAATACGATCTCGTCGTGAATGTGCTTTGAGTTTTAGAGTGGGAGTAGATGTGAGCCCCCGCTCAGCGTCTTTCCTCACCTGACCTGAGTGAGGGCGAGCAGAAATCGGCTTACATTTTGTCCGAAAACATGCGCTCTGTTTTTTCGTCTTATAGCAACATTTTCTAATTTACAACGTCGCAATTTTATATAGACAGTTACGAAACATTGATCTTGCTGCCTCCATTTGAATTTTTCGAAGGCGTCACTTAATTGCCGAGTTACAAACGCTTCTTTTAAGCCAATTTTATGTGATTTTGTGAATTTTTATTGCAACAGTTACTTATCAGATTTAAAAAATTCTAACGGTGGCAAAATGCCACATCCTTTGACAACACTTAGTTAAATTTTCAACTATTTTTAAGCAATAATAAATCAGTGATTCGAAAAATCATAACCCATTGCACGGGCTTCTTTCCGTGTGGGTAAAACCTCCTCATTAGTTTTATTACGAGTAGTAAAATAGGATCAAAAGACAAAGCAAATAACAAAGAAGGGAAAGTATTGTGGGAGATAATAGAAGAAATGGGATGGGAAATTTTGAATGGAAACAAGGAAGGAGATGAAGAAGGAGACTGGACGTACGTAGGGGTTAGGGAAGAATCAATTATCGACTATGGAATTGTCAACGAACAGGCGTTGGAAGAAATAGAGTTTCAAAGTCGAGGAAAGGGTAGAATCAGACCACATGCCACTAGAAATAAAAATCAAAGTAAAAGAGCAAGAGTAAAAAAACAAGAGAGACGAAACGAAAGAAAAGAAATAGAAAAAAGAATATGGGATGAAGAGGGAATTCAAAGATACAGAAGTAGCCTAGAAAAAAAGAAATTCGAAGTGAAAGAAGATATAAAAGAGAAAAAGAGGGTGGAGGAATGTACGCATTGTTCATAGATTTCAAAGCAGCGTTTGATAGCGTGAATAGAGAGAAAATGTGGGAGTATTTGAGGATAAAGGAAAGTAGATGCATACCTGCTAACGAAAATGGAAGAAATATATGAAGAAACAGTAAGTAATGTGAGAGTGTATGGAATAAAGAGCGAGAGTTTTTATACAAATAGAGGAGTGAGACAGGGATGCCCACTCAGCCCCGCATTGTTTGCAACTTATCTAGGAGATATAGCTGAAATGTTCAGAAAAGCACAGACAGGAGGGGTGGTAGTGAGCAAAGAGAAAGTGTGGTCGTTGGCGTACGCAGATGATTTGGTGATTGCGGCAAAGAAAAGAGAATAGATGAAAACAATGATTAAAAGTTTCGAGCAGTATGTTAAAAAAGGAATTGGAAGTGAATGCGGAAAAACGAAAATGGTGGTGTTTAGGAAGAAAGTAAGAGCAATAACTCAGATAGAGCGCATATTCAAGAAACGGTCCGGAAAGCGAACAAAGTGATAGAAATAGTAGGGGGATAGGAGAGAGGAAATTTGGACATGATTATAAGAGAAGAATGAGGATGTTTGATAGTTTGATCAAAAGTGTATTTATGTACGGACCTGAGATTTGGGGATGGAGGAAATATCAAGAAATAGAGTGAGTGCAAGAAAAATACTTAAAATGGACATTGGTATTGGAAAAGTATATGCCGAGGTATATAGTGAGAGAAGAAACCAAAAGGGAGAAAATGAGAGTGGAAGCGGGTAAAAGGAATGAGAGAGGTGACTGTAAAATATTGCAAGAATGTTGGAAAGAAATAAGAAAATAAGGGGGAAAACATGTTTGGAACGAAAGAGACAAGTATTATGAAGGAAAGGGATGTGAAGAAATAGAGTGAATGAGAGAAATGGGAAGGAGTATGAAAGAATAACTGAGTGTAAGAGATAAGGATATAGATAAGTAAAAACGCAGATCGCGAATATCGGAGTCTAGATATAATGCAGAGTATAGAAAAATAGTAAAGGATGAAGTACCAAAGTACACAGAGAGAGATTATTTACTGATGTGAATATGTAACAAATGCGTTAGTAAAATAAAATCACTCACTGTTTTTTCATTCTAACACGTTTTTTCTTGACCCTTGGGACCCATACAACAAATAATCAAACTTATATATTCATCAAATTGTTCAAAGTGCAGAAAATAATTGTAAAATAATGCATTTACTTACGAAGTAATTTAACTATTTTAAATTAGTTTCTGTCGACAACTTCCTCTAAACTACCGTCGCCTGCATTGGCATAATTAAAGCAAAACAATAATCTAATGAGGATGTAGGTGGACGGAATTTGTAGTGAAGTGTGGAAATATCATATTTATTGAAAGCGTAACTTCTTCTTAGAAACATACGGAAAACTAAAATCTAAAAATTAAAGCAAGGAGTAAGCGCTACAGACATCTTCCAAAACGCAAGGACCTCCAAGCACACTTCTGATGTACCCGTCTTTACAAACACATCCTTCCACACAAATGTCCGGGCAGACCCTTGGTTCCTTATGTTGGCAAGTCAGAGGACACAGCGTTGCACATTCTGAGTATATCTCGTTTACTCGACATTTGGGTACATCTAGAGTTGGGAAAAGTAATATCAAAAAATCTAAGAAAATGCCTAAAGTACTTACTTTTACAAGACGCCCTGGGTACGCAAGAACCGCTTTCTCCTGCCCTCACATAACCGTCTTTGCAGAAACAACCCTGGACACATACATCTGTACATTCTCTCGGTTCAAAGATTTCTAGACAGGTTTGTGGGCACTCGGTGCCGCAATTCTGGTATTCTTCGTTTTCGGAGCAGATGGGTAGTTTATCTAAATAGGTGTCAAATGATTTTTATCTACAACTGCTTTATAAAGGCCTTATTACACAACTCATTCGGCACTGTTTGAGTTGAGTAATAAACCCTCTTATTCCACTAGTGGTGTAATAGAAAGATTACACCACTAGTGGTGTAATGAAGGGCTCCACTTCTTAGTTGAATTTTATTAACATGTAAATTACAACAAATTACATTGATTAATTCTTAACTTATTTGCTATACACGTCGATAATACATTTCTTACAATTACTGATATTAATACCAGATGAAATGAAATTATTTGTATCTTTGTCCATAATGCTTAGGTTTTGTTAACAAAATGTTTGTTACAGCTCCAGTATTTAAGATTTCTCTTCTAACAATGCTTGAATCTCGGTTGTAGCTACTGGCCGTACTTGTTCTGGCTCCAGGATCACCTCCAAGAATATCAGAAGCGGTCTTTTTCTTGTTTTCAATCGAAGTGTCGATATAACCTTCAGTACCTTCACATACAGCCCATAGGCTGCTGCATTTATAACTTTTCGACAAATTTTCAAAAAATGGCAACAGCACCTTCTATCTTGCTTCATGATTTATTTTCTTGGATGCACACCAGTCAGTGAACCGTTTTTCGTATTTAGTTTTTGATTTATCAGGGAACAATGAAGACACTAGGTTTGTAGCAGCTTCTTCTGTTTCGAAAGGCAAGCTTTCTGCTTCAGAATCACTCATTTCTCGATTGAACAACATTTTTTTTCTAAAAACTGACGCGTTGTTTACAACAAATTTGAGCGGTTGTCATAACACTGCAAAAATTCTCTTGATTCTTGATTTTTAATTAATAAAAAAATTTAATCGGCTTTTTTTCTTTTTCATTTTTGGGCAGTTGCAGATAAAGTTTTGTATTTCATACGTGGGCTAGAGCATATTACAGCAACTCGTGTGATTACAGATGACTCGGTCTAACGACCTCGTCTTCTGCAATCTTCACACTCGTAGTGCTGTAATAATGGCTCTATCCCACTAATAAGATAAATAACTATTATTAGTTTGATGGGAATTTTGGTTACTTACTGCCAAATGTGACCCCTAGAAGGAAGAAGGTGACGATGATGGTACCAAACATTTTGGTAGAATTTTTTTGGATTGTTGTAGACTTTACCAAGTTTGTCTTGATTCTGATTGTGCAGTTGCAATGCAGGATTTAAATACCTAATTGTTGCTATTGACAAATATTTTTATCGCCACTTGACTCCAAAAATAATTATTTCAAAATTATTTTGGCAAAAAATAAAGATTTTATCAAGATCGTTGTGCCTAAAAAACAATGTTGAGTACAATTAGTCTGACTAACTTAACAAACAGAAAAATGTATTTTTCAAGAAATTGTGCATCGAAAAATTTAAAGGAAACTGATGTAACTTGTACAGAAAGTGTCGTCATTAACAAGTCAAATATCACTATTTTCCTCTATCGGTCAGCGGTTTTAAACAAATAAGTTTTATCCGTCTTACATCTGACAACTGATAAGTGAGTCATGTTGAAAACATTGTTGCACTACGTTTTAAAATGTCTATTGTTATTTTAGACTTTTCGAGTGCTAGATCTTATTTTTTGATAATAATTGGGGTCTTCCAGTTTTTATCTCCGTTTTACGTAAAACTTGTTTACTTTTCAAAAAACCCATCACAAAAACCTAAAAATATTAATAATATTAATAATAATAATAATATTAATCTTTATTTCCAACGGGCAAAAAACACCCAATTACAGGAAACAATTAGAAAAGAATGAAGCATATAAATGATAATTAAACATATTATCAATAAATAAATACGAAAATTAAAATAATTACCAATTAAAGAAAGCAATATAATATTTAAATCGCTCAGATTAGAGTCTAAAACTTAAATGAATCTATGAGTAAGCACATACTCCTATTAAAGATATTAATAAAAAATAAGGATGAAAATTAAGACAATTACAAATTAATGAAGATAACATAGTAATCCCTTAAGACCAGAAACTTAAACTTAAATGTTTGTAGGAGTAACCTCAAACTAAACATATTAATAAACAAAAATGGGGATAATATTAATACAATTACAACACTAACAACTTTAGAAGAGATTAAATATATGTTGAGCTGAATCGAAATTGAAATCACAGTCACTGCTAATTAAGTTACAATAGTTACATATGAGCGCAACGGGCGATCTACTTAGAGCATTAGTTTTACAGCGAGGTGCATAAAATAAAGGATTTTGTCTGGAGTTTAATCTAGGGACAACAAAGAAAAACTTATCAAGGAGGTATGGACAATCTATTCTATTCTTTAGTAAATTGTATGAAAATTTAACAACAATAATTATCCTTCTTGTGTGAAGTCGTTTGCAATTAATCTGGCCAATAATAATTCATGATTGTATCCTCGAGGGGGATAAACGCCATCGGTCAGATACGCAACAAATTTTAAAAATTTTCTTTGAATTCGTTCTATTTGGTCGATATAGGTATTGTAGATCGGAAACCAAATCAAAGCACAGTATTCTAGAGATGACCTGACGAGAGAATTAAATAGGGCAATAAGTGAGTGTGTGTTCGAAAAGTCACGACAGCTACGATATATGAAACCATACATTTTATACGTTTTGGAAATACATTCATCAGTGTGATTATAAAAGTAGAATTTATTATCAAAAACAACGCCTAAATCTTTGTACCTATCTAAACGAGTTAAGACTACGCCTTTCAGGTAATAGTCAAACTTAACAACAGAAGCTTTTCTCGAGTAAGAGACAACGAAGCACTTAGATTGATTAATTGAGAGACTATTACACCTTCCCCAGTAAATTAGACAATTTAAATCTAATTGAAGTTGTTGACAATCGCTCAAAGATTTGAAGAAAAGTTTTAAGTCGTCAGCAAATAATAGTCTATTGCAGTTCAGCCCATCAACTATGTCGTTAATAAACAATATGGACAGCAAGGGGCCCAGATTAGACCTTTGCGGCACACCGGATCTTGGGGTGAAAGGTTGAGACATAAAGTTACGGTATTTCACGACCAACTCTCTGTTAAAGAGGTACTATTTAATAAGAATTAAAAGCGGTTTGGAAAAGCCAAAGCACTGGAGTTTTTTGAGAAGCAGAAAATGTTAAATATGATCAAAGGCTTTGGTAATGTCTGTGTATACAACATCTAGCTGATTTTGGTGATCTATAGGCTCAGCAGCGTATTGACAGAAAGAAACTAAGTTAGTGACAGTTGATGTTTTTTCTACAAACTTTTGATGTTAGAATATATCCTTTCATAAAGAATATTTTCAAAGATTTTGACAAAATTACACAGTAAACATATAGGTCTGTAGTTTTGTATCATAGAAGGGTCGCCTTTCTTAAAAATTGGTGTAACCGTTGCCTTTTTCCATTTCTCAGGAAAAGAAGATGTCCTTAAACTTAAGTAAAATAAAGAATGCAGCGGTTTGACTAATACATAAGCGCAGTCTTTCAGTATAAAACTAGGTATTAAGTCGGTAGCTGAAGTGAGAGATTGTTTAGATCGTTTTAACGCTAGCAAAATTTCTTCTTCCGTTATGTCTGACACTGAAACAAGTGCATTAGGAATGTCCTTTCCAGTGAAGTTACGAGAGTTATCAATACTTGAATCGGAACTAATGAAAACACTGCTAAATTAAGCACCAAAATCATTCACAATTTCAGTCGGTGATGATAACTCTAAATCCTGATATGACTTGGTTCCCGGAATTCTAATAGACCCTCTTTTATTATGTAAAAAAGACCAACAAGTTTTTGGATCCTTCTGAATTTGATTTTCGATGTTGTGTATGTAGGTATGCCATGTAAGCGTTTTTAGTAAGTGTTTGTTATTAATAATAACAAAGGATTACTAAACAGTGTTGCAAGTTGCAAGGTAATTAATTCCAGGACAACAATGTGAAAAAAGGAAATATGAAACAAAACAAAAAAGACATCAATCAACAATCAAAAAGACGAGGGAGATTGAAACGTTTATAAAAAAAAGATAAAAGAAGCCAAAAAACGATATTTCAGAATTCAGACAAAGGTGAGCAAGAGACATATCTCGAAAAAAAATTGGTCGAAGATTATTTCGACAGAACTTCCCTCGCTCTTGAAATACATATAATCCGACTAATTTAAAAAATTACAAAATTCGAATCTACCATTTTCTTTTTATGAATACCATTATAAAGATCCGCACAAGTGTAGACAAAATGAAACAAATTTAAAGCAGATAATCAACAGGAAAATTGTGAATGTTCTCCATTTCTCACTGCATGCTTAACTTTGACTGTCTATGTTTAGACCTATTTCAAAGAATTCAACTATTAGTACGTTCAGATTACATGCCTCAGCGGTTAAAAGAAAATGAAATTTGACTGATTTTGTCTTCCCAACGCAGAGGTGAGGATTGATTAATTAATTAACCACACTCATTTTTTTCCTAAAAACACTCATAAGTTTGAAGATGCAAACATTTTAATGTTATCGTAATCATGTAATTACTAATGAGAGACTGTTCGTGGAACGTACACAGTGTACACAAGCTTCGAGAATTTTCGTATAGACGTGAACGATTTCGCTTATCAATCTTTTACAATAATTATTAATGGATGACACTTGACACCATTGCATTGCCTAGCAACGTTGCTTTAGTGTACACGCTAAACCTTACGGTATAGGCGATCGAATACAGGAATCGGTTATTAAGAGAGATTATGCAATCAAACGTTATACATACCTATTCGAAATGCACTAATAACGTATGCTCTATATAAATAGCGTTAAATATTAACGTTGAGTCATGTTTAAAGTATTGCAAATAAAATTTATTCAAGCCCGCGTAAAGCTTGTGATAAACATTATTATTTGAAGTACGAGTTGTTAAAAATTGGTCTAAAGAGTTTAGACAGTACTTCCCTCGCTGTCGGAAACGTGACGACTGCATGCCTATTATGTTTTTTTTTTCGCAGTGGATTTCAAAGAATTCGGTTTTGTAGTTCCTGATTAAATCAATAAAATATATTTACGCATTCATTAATTTTTTTGAGTCACTCTGTATATGCAAATCCAAAAAATATAAATGGAGTGATAAATGACAAGTACAGACTCATCATATTTTGTACATTTTAGATATGATTTATTCGGCAAACTTTCGAGCTGACGTCATCAAGTTTTTGGAGGGGATAAGCAAATATATTTTGACTAGACATTTATTATGCTCTTTATGACCTTAAAACATCTGCAAGATTTCAGAGCATTCGGTTTTGTAGTTCCTGATTAAATCAATAAAATATATTTACGCATTCATTAATTTTTTTGAGTCACCCTGTATATGCAAATCCAAAAAATATGAATGGAGTGATAAATTACAAGTACAGACTCATCATATTTTTACAGTTTAGATAGGATTTATTCGGCAAACTTTCGAGCTGACGTCATCAATTTTTTGGAGGGGATAAGCAAATATATTTTGACTAAACATTTATTATGCTCTTTAGAACCTTAAAACATCTGCAAGATTTCAAAGCATTCGGTTTTGTAGTTTCTGAGTAAATCAGTAAAATAAATTTACGCATTCATTAATTTTTTTGAGTCACCCTGTATATGCAAATCCAAAAAATATGAATGGAGTGATAGATCACAAGTACAGACTCATCATATTTTGTACATTTTAGATATGATTTATTCCACAAACTTTTGAGCTGACGTCATCAAGTTTTTGGAGGGGATAAGCAAATATTTTTTGACTAAAGATTTATGATGCTCCTTATAGCCTTAAAACATCTGCAACATTTCAAAGTATTCTGGTTAGCAGATTAAAAATTAAATTTCAAAATGTTGTTTTATAATTTTGATTTTTTTTCCAAAAATCTGGACGTTTCGGGTGAAAAGTCGATTCAGAGTTGTAAACTACATGTGTAGGACTATGTTATTTTATACAATTGAAAACCCATTTATTATGTACAATTTTGAAGTGACGTCATCGCATTAGTGGTGGGGATGATTAGACAAATTTTGGTTAGCGTTTTACCATCTACATGATATTCTTAATATAAGTACAAAATTTCACAACAATCGGTCGAGTACTTTCGGAGATTATCTGTCTAATAAAAATCCGGGACAACAGACGGACAGACGGACGGACAGACGGACAGACAGACGGAAATGGGAGACCTATTTCTTCGTCTTCTAGGGGTCATGAAAGATCGAGAAAACGTAAAAGTAGAGAGTCGGTCGACGGACTCGATTACAATACTTCCTTTGCTTACGCTCGGGAAGTAAAAATGAAAGAACTATTAAAAGCAGCAATTTTGGGAAATGCACATGAAAATGAAATAGAAGAAACAATTCTCCTCATGCTACATCCCGCAAAAAATAATGAAGACGTGGAAAAACAACACAAATTTCAATTAAACGAGTGGGAGCAGAAATTTGATCGAAAGAATTTTTTATCGAAGCAGTTGTGGTACCCAAAATTGTGCCACTTTTGGGTCTCTCGGATAATATATTGTTATGAAATAAACCCATACGCCGCCCCGGTAGGACGCCTATGGGTTCCTGAGTTTTCTGTATTTACGGCGATAATGACGCATCGTGGATGACGTCACCCAGACAGCGCTCGCACAAAAAAAGCCCTCCAGCAGAGTACCGGAAGTCTCGATTGCGGCGTCTAGAAAAACACTCGAAGCGGCCTTCGCTAAAGAAAGGTCTAGAAAAGGAAGTATTCCAGAAAGACCTCGATTGGGAAACATCGAGAAGGGAATACGAGTTTAAATAGAGGCCGTCGTCGGGAGCGCATTCGTTCAGTCAAGAAGTCCAGCGAGTGAGCGAATTCATCCAAGTGAACCACGGAGTTATTCTGTACATAATCGCTGTAATATTTAGTCGTGTAATTCGAGTTATTAAGAAATAAATTGTTGAGTTTGTTGAGCCGAATTCAAATACCCGTAGAACGTAACAATATCTTCGATTGTTGAAAATACTAACCTGAACGCAAGAAAAATATTGAGGAATGTTTTGGAGGCAAATGCTCACGAGTTACAACTTCAAAGTGAAATATTCAAAGAACAGAAAAGCGAAAACGAAACATTAATAATAAGTAGAGAGCGGAAAATATGCAGCAAAATTTTGGGAAATATGATCATATGATATGCATCAAATTTATGTAAATATGCAGTTTCTTTCTTAATATATGCGGAGATATGCAGTTGCATATGCTCCAAAAATTAGAAAAGAGGTTTCCTGAGCTTACGTTTTGTTACAAAAAATACATAAATCACATTGCAAAGTGTTTGATTACATCTTACTAACACATAAATCACATTTTAAAGATAATATTCTTATAATAAAAACTAAATATAAACAGAATAAATTAAAAAATAGTAGTAATCGACTATTTATTTAATAACTAGGTATTTTGGTAACAAATTATTTTTAAATATTTTTCGAAATATTCTAACAAAAAGTTTTTCCGGTGATTCTAAAGTATGTATTTGTAATTAGAAAAACTGCGTACTATGTCTACAGATGTAAAAATACTTACCGGTTTAGAGCAGTCGCGACAAAACAAGGTTCCTTCTTGAAGAATAAGCCCAGGAAAAGGTTTAATCCATAAATTAATTTGAGTTATCTTGGACATATTGACACACCTGTATCGCTTTAAATGCTTTCAATGCACTCACGACGAAAAAAAATAGGATAACGTCCCTTCGACCACCATAAAACATATTATTAATATACTTAAGTAACGAACAAAAATATTGGGAATGAACGGTATTTCCAAAAGTAATTAGGGCCAGAATTTACCTGGAAGGATGGCTTAACACCTAATGGTTTCTCCAAACTACCATAAAACCCAAACTTTTCTAGTTATTTAAAGCTCAGGACAATATTTGCAATATGATTAATGAAATTTCGTCTTTCTAGATAAATGTCAATAAAATGACAATTTTTTTTTTCAAATTAGCACAAAAATTGATAAAAATGCAAAATATGCACCCGTTGCGTGAAATATGCAGCAGAAGGCAAATATATGCAAATATGCAATTTTTTATAGCTGTATTCATTTTTAATTAGCATGATTCGTCCACATATTAAATATCAAGACTCATATGCAAAAAATAACGGATATGCAAATTTCATAAAATCCGCTCTCTAATAATAAGAAAGGACTACTAAAGAGTCAAACGATGTCAAAAAAGGAAAGATGAAACAAAACAAAAAAGACATCAATTAACAATCAAAAAGTAAATAAAATAAAAGAAAAATTAATCGGATTGAAGGAAACAGGATATTTTTAATACCATCTCAGAATATGCATAAGAGGAACTGAGACACGTCAAATTATGAGCCACTATTGGAACCAATTGCAATACGGTAGATGGACATGTTGTATTGCTGTCGACTTCTATCCTTAGTCGAGACCTAACTGCGGATCTGCGATCGTAATGGCCTAGTTTCGGACGGCATGTTCGTCATGGAGATGTGCTGTGTGGGTAAGCTTGCGATAGATAGAATCACCGTCGAGGGGGGAGAACAGCCCCGACCGGTAGCCCCAAACTCCGCTTGTGCTAGAACGCCCCAGGGGTACTTTTGTGGTGCTCCTACGATAGGGAGTTTTGGGGCTGAGATGGCAAGTCCGTGTCGCCTTCGCTCGCAGCTTCTTTCCTCTTAGAGAGAGGGCGCAATTTTTATTGCCCCCTCCCAAAAAACGTATTCTATTATTTGTTGCGCTCCCGACTCACACGCAGTGCATGCTCACTTGTATGAAAGAACGTCTTCCCGCCAAGTTTAAAAAAAAACACAACGTAGGTTTCCATTTTGTTAGACGATCACAGCCAAAGCCAAATTTTGAATTTTTGAATTTTTCATGGGCCTTTCAAACTTTTTCAAGGTCAATTTAAAGGCGGGAAGTTTGGATTATCACAATGTTGAAGAACGTTTAAAAAACCTGCTGGAATGGATCACCGAGACCAAGAACATGAAACAGTGAAAAGGTCATTCATTGTTCCATGGACAAATTATATTTCTTCCTTTATGATCTGTGCAGTCGTGCAATTATTCGCAAAATAGATTTTGTTAAGCGTTATGCAACATAATATACACAGAATACGTATAGCTGTTTTCGAGTGTGTTTGGACATGGAGATAGATTAGAGGAAGAAAAAAAGGTTGAAAAAGCGCCTGATACCGTGCTTTCGACTGGGATCATAATTAGCTCTTCTAGCTTCTCCAGTGGCGTGCTCGAAAGCGGTTGTCCAGAGGCTAGACATATAACACAAAAATTAACATGTAGCAAGTTAATGGCATTGATTAAGTACATTTAATGCATGGGATAATGGATAAGGGTCATGAATGGGTAAAGGACAGATTTTTTTACTATTTACTACCTATTAACTCATTCGTAACCAAAGTGCACCGCCTCTGATCCTCTGTTGACAACCGACCGCGTCCAATGTAGAACGGAAAGGGTCACAAATGACTCTTGCGTGGAGCTCTTTTGCAAGAGTTTCTTTACCATTGGTTAAATGAGGAACGCTCCCTCCACTAATAGTACCTCAATGGTTTTGGAATTAACTGATTTTTTACACAACAGTCAATTCAAAAACAAACTACATGGAATCATATTGTTACGAAATAACCCATACGCCGCCCCGGTACGACGCTTGTGGGTTCGAGATGTACGGCGACAATGACTCATCGTCGATGGCGTTCGCTACAGAAAAGCCTGGAAGCGGAACTCGCGACTGGTATTCCAGAAAGACCCTGATCGCTGACATCTAGAAAGAAGTATGGGTTTAAATAGAGGCTCCCTTCGGGAACGATTATTATTCAGTCAGCAAGTCGAGACCACGAAAGTACAGTCAAGTTGCGCCGGAATTATTTTGTACATAATCGCTGGTAATCAGTCGTGTAAATTTGAATTATTAAGAAGTAAATTATTGAGTTTTATTCACGCCGATTTTATTCACCGTTCAACGTAACAATATCTTGATGTAATGCCAAAAAAAGCAGCCAAAATTTAACAAAATCAGAAAAAAATCACAACAGAATTAAATAGTAATATTTGAAATCTTTAATTAAAAAGTTACAATGAACAAAATAAAATTAGAAGTATCTACGTACCTACAGTTGCAAAAGTGTCAAGTTAATGAAGTAAAATATAGTTAAATCTTATTTAGAGAAAAATTGAAAATTGCTGCACGATATAAAATGTTAAATATTGAAATGTATATAGTAAAATTAAATTATTACACGTTGGGACATTTGTTTTCCCCATTTTAATTCGGATTTATTATGTTTGAGTTACGTAATGAAATTTTTGAAAGAAATTGATTTTGGTTACGATTTCATTTTGACACGTCATCAACTTTTTAAAAGAAACGAATCGATGAAGTCTAATTAACGATTTACCATGTAAATCGTTAATTAGACAATAGTAATAACAATATAACATTGACGCGTGTGTAACATTTCAGAGCAGTTTGTTTTGTTGTTTCTAAGATAAATTTTCAAATTTTTTTTTTTCCAAAAATTTCCGTATCTAAGGTAAAAAAAAATAAGGGCGAAGCAATAAATCAGTAAGTGTAGAAGTAAAATTTAAGTAGGGTTCATCTAACACAATTCATCAAATCAAGTTCTCATCAAATTATTGATAAAGACGAAAGAACAGATTTTGAGTGGGACGATAGTTTTAAGGTACACTCACAATTCCAGAGCAAACAACCGATGTTCTAAACGTGGTTGTTAAATAATTATATCACTCGTGTGCTTCTTGAATCAATATATGTCTTTTTAAAAAATATTCTTGTGTAATTAACAAGTTTTTGTTGTTATCTATTTTATGTAAAAGAAAAACAAATGCGAATTACCTACCTAAAAGAAAAATTTCGTTCAACATTATTTTAACTATGTTTTCATTAGAAAAGAAAAATTAATAAAACCATCTTCGCCACTGTACTATACTGCACTTGGAAAAATATCCTTTAAAAGAAAACATTTCAGAAATTACAGATTTAGTAAAAATCGCAAGTTTAGAAAAATACATAGGCACCTAAATAATTTTATTGTACCTATGTGTCTAACAACACAAAATCTTGATCATCAATTACCCGGATGCAAGAAGTGTATGTCAAAGCAAGCTGATTATAATTGACCCTTGAACACAAACAAAAAAAATCCTTAGTGAATCATAGTGTACGCTAATATATGCATGAATAATTGATAAATTAAACATCTGTTAAGTATGATAAATTACGTTTTATTTTCTACTAATTAGAGTAGGTCAATAGGCGTAAGATAAGAAATTTCATTATGGAAGTTTTAATGAAATGCACTACTTACATTTTGTGTAATTCTACTGACTTCAGATACCTAAATAGAATATTTTCTATTGCCATGAAGACGAAATTTTGTAACCTAAATGTCATTCTTTTATATACAGTTCAGTATCACAGGCACATGCAATCATATTTTAATTTAATTTTTTAATATATTAAAATTCAAGCACTATTATCGTGTTCAATTATTTCAAATTGTTCAAAAATTCTAATAATTCATGAACAAAAATTTCTTTCCGATGCAGTCCAAGGTGATAGTCCAAATGATTTAACCCTGAAATTTTCCAGTGCCCATGAACTTTGGCTTTTGGGGACAGTTGTTGATACAGGTTTTCACAATCCTTTCAAGAAAAAGAAATTATGCTTCAAACGTTATAAGATGTAACATTTTAACTTACTTTTAAGGACACTAAGGTATCGTTGTAACTCGATACCAAGAGTGTTGGCACTGTTATGTTTTGAAGTGGATATAGCGGAGGAATTTTTTGACCATAAATTTTCAAATTTTCTTTTTCACCATAATCGTACATCTGAAAGCGGTTTCTTGCATTAGCCAATTGTCCAAAATGCGCCAAAGTTTTCCAAGAAAAGTTGTCCGCATAGATCGCCCCATCGTAATTAAAAAAAGTCTACATTAAATTTTCAGCAAAACTGCTGTATCGTATGACATTACCGGGTCGGTTTCGCTTGGTGTGTAACCACAACACTGCCAAACGAAAACATTCACCACGAATAAAATGAAAGGGAAAAGTCGTAAAAAAACTCTGGATACTGGTATTATAAATGGCAGCAGGATCAAAGGGCTGCCCAAATGAATGAGATCCATGAAAGCCTAAAATTTTGGTTTATAATTAACTACATATATTGTTTTAAATAAATACGGGCCGGTTTATAGAAGCGCAAGTTAAATATTTAATCCTCGATTAATTTAACACTGGATTAAAATGTGAAATGGGAGCTCGTGATTGGTTAAAACCTGCACGTCGCCTAGCAACGAACCTCAATTAGAAGTTAATCGCGAATTAACTTTAACTTCGGTTTCTATAAACCAGGTCTACGTGTTTTAAACACCGTAATTAAAAACGTTGCAGTTAAATACCTTAATATAAGACGACAATCTTATAAACAAGAATACGAGGCTCGTTCCATGTTCGAAGTATGCAGGTGTTGCTAGAAGGATCATTGTTTTTAGATATTTGCTGGCTTGTATTGGTTTCAAAGCTGAGTAAATTAGACCAATCGCGGAACCTAAAGAATGTCCAAAAAAAATCACTTGTGATCCGTTGGTCTTGCTTTGTATCAACTCTAGTTCACTGGTAACATCGTATAATCCCATCTCGTGGACGCTGTAATTAATATTACGTCAAAGCACTCATTTAATACTGGATATTTGCAAATATTAATTTTATGTGTATTAATGGCAGGTTAGAAAGCAAGAACGACTTGTTCATTAGTAACTAAACAGACCGAACAAATAAATTTATACTGGTGATATAATTACACGAATAAGTTATGAAACTTACCTGAAGTCCCAGTAGGCAAAATCGTATTTGGTCATGTTGACATGTTTGTCCGAAAAAATAGTTCCTCTCTGATTGGCCAACCAAACGTCGAAACCATCTCTCCACAAGGTGAGCGCTTTAGGCCAGAAATGACGACATATTAAACGAAGGTCTTTTCGAAGAAGTTAGCTTACCTAGTGAATTGTTACCTTGCCACAGATATATATGAGAATGCGTGGCTATGGAGTGATGTAGCAAAATAACACCCTTACGATTGCCATTCGGTATTCGAAACATAGTAATGATATATCCATCTTCAGTTGTCACATTGTGTAGTTCTACCTTTCCTGCATATTTTTCGATGAGTTGTGGCTATTGTTGATTAGTAAAAAGAAGGCGATGACGGTATAACTTACTATGCTGAGAGTAGTGTCGGGATCGTAGTAGCAGTTTTCGTTGTCGTCTGGGTAGTAATAGTCACGAAAATGCCTGCAGACATTATTGCGTCTCGTATTAACGGAATGTGAAATTGGTTCAACAAAGGCTAACAGAAGTAAGTATGTGAGTAACATTATAAATTAAATTTTACACGACCGAAAATTTTATGGAAACTTTAGTGTCTACGTTTGCAGACGACGAATGAGTAGTCACTACAGAAAAATATAGTGATTGCTGACTCTAGCTCGTTTACACATGGAACTACATACGCTGTAATTTACCAGCCACACAGACTTTCAGTAAACAAGAGATAATTGGAACATTAAAATAAGGAATTCGTGTCGTTGACTTATATTCTAATATTCTATATATATATATAAGTTGAGCGATAGTATTTTTAATTGTTGTTATCATTTTTGACTGAACTTTCTTTGATTACAGACGTATCATGTTTGCATGCAGTGGCGGTGGACACTGTAGGAGAGATGTACCTATGTGAAATTGCATAGGTACCGTAACATCAAAAGTAAACAGCATCATAATTTATTCTTCTGAAGAAATATGTAAAAAAGCTTACGGAAATTTACTTGCTAATGATGTATCAATAAAACACAGTTATAGCCTTGGTAACATTGAAATCGTTACAAAAAAAATAATCAATGATACAAAGTTCATTTTACTGTGACATACTCGGATACAATGTCATATAAGTTTTAACTGAAGACCCCACTTGGTTTGTGGGTATGTTGCATATAAAAAATTAAAATACACTACATGCAAAAATTATTTTATGTTGAACTATTATCATCTAAAAATATATACATTTTTTAACATATCTAGATTCTACGAGTAGGAATGTTAAACACGAATAAAAATGTTTTAGACAGTTTACATACATGTGAACGTTCCTTTTTGTGCGATAAAGGAAAACTACTTAATATCTAAGTAATTCCCATTGTAGACTACCTATATCTATTTTGAAATATCAAGAGTTTCATCTTTTGAGATTTGTACTCAGTAGATGTCATTCGATGTAGCATAGTAATCTGTAATTGTTTGAAATATTATTATAGAAATACATTTTAACGACGAGGCCTGGACTAAATATATTATTATTTATTGTTTCAGCCCAAGTTTCTGACACTACTATGGTCTTTACTGCTGGACTGTTAAAGAAAACTTGTATGCACATTTAATTGTCATGGATCTCTACCTTGTCTCAACAAATAAAAAAATGTTTAGCTTTTTCACAAGTTTGTTCATCGAATGGTTTATATATGTTTATATTTTTTTATATAAAATGGTTTTGTTTGTTTTTTACTATTGTTGGTAATTTACTGTAAATAAAAATTTACTATGTTTTATCATATAAAAATATTATTTAATTTTGACCTCCTGAAACCAGAATCTCTACATACCAGTCAACTTTCCCGAGAGAGAATCAGTAAATGTCACATTTCCTAGGGAAAGCTAACATTGCCTAGTCAAAACTATTCATATTATCGAAGCATCGATATTCACTGACTGACTAGCTAGCATTCCCTAGTGATTGTTAGCATTCCCAGCATTCCCTGTAATATTTACAAGAATTAAAATGATATTTGCATACCTATCCATCAAAATTATAAAATGTATGTTCCAATTAAAGTTTGTTAATCATCCACACCAACAATTTGATGACGTCTCCTCAAAAAATTTCATAAAATGACATACTCCTATACTTGTGGCTTATGAGTCTGCTTTGATTTTGTACCCTAGGTATGTTATACACATTTTTGCAAAAAATCCAAATGGGTATCATCATCTTCTTTTATGTCGATATAAGAGCACTGATGTATGATAAACTTGGTGGCTGAACTGTAAAAATGTTGAATTACTAACACCAAAGCTGGTTCGATTGACTCAAGGCTAATATTTTTTTTTGATCAAATTAAAAACGATTCACTGATTTTCTCGAAAATTTGACAATACAGTAATGAAGCAATTTTCTGCATATAAAATATTCATAGATATGTAATGCTAATAAAGTTAATAAAGCTATTTAACTTTATAAACTGGTGTCGACAGGTTCTTCTACCAAAATTGCAACGACACTGGTTGCATTACGCTGCAGTTTAAAAATTCTATTTTTGATGCAAGAATGACCCCGACCACAAGATCCATAAGATAAGTATGTCTGCACGTGTCTGTAATGCAAAATACGCAATATGGAACGTATCAGCTGCAACTCTACAAGATAAATTTCGTAGTAAACCTGGTACCTATCAGCTAATCAAACTAGTGTCATTGGCGAATAGTAAAATTCGACCTTTCATACATCTAAAAGTAAATACATAAAATAAAAGTAAATACATAAAATAAAAGTTTATATATAAATTTGAGATATTATTAGGATAACATGGTCATCAAATGTTAAGACTACCGTCATATCACACAGATCTTAACCATATAGAAAAAAGTTTAGTTTAGGGTTGCTAAAAATAACGTTACTTTTAAACTTAAGGCCGCAAAAATTTTGACAGAAAAAAAAGTTCCAATATAAAGTTTAATGAAATCTGGGAAAATGTTGTTTATAACAATGATTTGAATAACGAGCGTCAATTGTAAGGGTGTCAGAGCTGATTATTATTAATTAATCTAATTAAACACACATCAAGTGATGAAGTTCATTTAATTATTTTATTTCTGTTAATAAAGCTGTTTTCAATTTTATAAATATACTCAGGTAGTTAAAAAATTATACTTTTGCAATTACTGACTGAACTCTATTCCCATTTATGCCGTTTACTGAAAAAATTACACTGACCCTATCAGTTTTGCGACGTTTATCAGTGTTTTTTCTCCAAAGTCGGGTGTTCAGTTGAAAAAGTCATCCAGATGGCGTTGATTTTTTTTGTAAACATTATGAAGTATTAAAAGCTATTTAAGTTTTAACAAGTACGATCCTACAGAATAAGAATTGACAAATACACAGGGTGTTAATTTTTAATACCCTGTTAAAATAAACAAGATGTTACAGAATAGGTCCCAATAAGGACTGAGAAGAAAATGTATGTGCCCTATATATAAATCTCGAAAAAGTAATTTGAAAAATGAATTCAGAAAATCATCGGCAACCATGTATAGCTTTAGTTTCTTGCTGGTGGTTTGGAAGCTCGTCTAGGGAATTTGTGGGTAGAAATCTGGTAAGGGGGTTGGTAGTACAGCAGGCTTATCTGTTTGGGATGCGTCACTTGTTGTTTTGTCTGGTGTAGGTGCAACCACTCGGTAAGCATTAAATTTATCTACATAGGTTTATTTTGATTCGGTAATTTCATAAAATAGCCTTTGTTTAAACGAAACTTAATCATACTGACGGCGACGGCACAATTAATGTCTCCAAATAAGAAAGGTGAGACGTGGTGTAAATTTGTTGATTATAAATTTATCGTTCATGTTAGGTTTTTAACCTTTCTTGTTTCTAACACAGTTTAACAATCATGAAAATTGTAATTTTACTCCATGCAGTCTTAGAAATTTTATTTTTCTTATGTGACACCGAAGAAATAAGCAACTTTATTCAGATGAAATAAGTAATAATGAATAATGTCTAAGGGGATGAATGGTTTTTCCTAACTTAAATATTATGTAGTTAATCTGAATACATTCTCATTTGGAAATTTTAAAATAGTAAATAATTGGCAACATTCATCAATTTAATTTTAAGCACTGAATCTCGAACACAAATGAACCAAAAAGAATTTTTTTAACGAATAGTTAATTAGAACACAACTTCTCGTACCCGTTTTCATACATTCTAGCGACCTGTATAAATGTAATATTTCGATGCTGATATAATATAAATGTATTTTACTTCACATATAGCTTATTCTAAAAAATATGTTGGAAAGGTTAGATTCGAACTTATTTACATTAATTCTCATTAATGGTAGGTATGTACTACATAAAATCGTCTCCTTACTCCTTTGAAAAATTGTATCATCTGACACGTTTCCTTGTAAGTACTTGATTGGTCAAGTAAAAAACCTTAATGAATTTAAATATTTTAATTGCGCTGGTACACGTGTTTCGGTACACACTACCTACCGTCTTCAGGTAGAAGAGAAAGTTTCCTGTTATATATTCTTGGCATATTTATCAAGACGAACAGGTACTTAGTGGAAACAATGACCATTTCTTAGTAAATACCATAGACAAAGCAAGATTTATTTGCGTGAAGACCACTTTAGTGATAATTTTTTAAGAGTACCGCTCATAACAGACTCCACAAGTTTGCTCTATCAACCATTTTGTAACCCAAAACGATTGTGGCGGTAATAAGATAATTTTTTATAGAAATTTAAGAAGTTCATACAGATCTTTAAGAAGCTTTTTACAGTTACCTTTAAAGGTATTAACGACCAGCCTTTTATTAAATTAAAAAACAGAATTAAATTAATATTGTGTGCAACCGATTCAATTTATAGGACAAGAAGATGGTAGATCTTTAAATTTGGATTTTTTAAATTAAGACTGCATTATGTAACCAAAGAATTAATAATTTACGTTGTACAAATATATGAGAGTGTTGTATATTATTTAAAACAGTTTGGAGACATTCTGTGCATTGAAGAATAATTAATTAGTGTTTTAATGTGTACAGAAATTATTATCTACTAGCATGAATTTTTTTTTTATTTATTTTTTTGTTTTTTAGCATTTCTTGCTTCCTCTATACTTTTTTGAATAGTACCTGCATGCTTTTTTGCTATTAAGTCAAATGCTATATTAAGTAATAACATCACAATATCTTTTTTGTGGTCTTCGCAAGTGAACCAAGTAAAATCTGTGTTTTCTTTAATAACATTAAAAATTTTGGTTTTTATATTTGAAATATGCCCTAGTCTATCTATGCATAGTACAATAATATCATGAACATGAGCAATATATTGTAATAGGTGGTTTGTGACATATTTCAGTCTTTGCATGTTGTCATCATATTCCTTAAAATATGTGAATATATGATAGGTATGGTCGCCAGTTTTCGTCAATCAAGCAATTCCTACATTCAGTACAAGTAAAATGTTCAATTTTTTTTACAAAATAACCACAAACATACGTTAATGCCTGTGTATCAAAATTGCAATCGTTAATGAAAACTGGAGGAGGTAATTCAAGATTCAATAATTCATTATTCTCATGCTCAACCAAAGGTGTGGCTAATTCATTTTCCTGTTATAAATAGTCTTGCAAATTATTGAGTAACCGACATTCGTCTTTTTCACAATTACCACCTGGACTTCTATTTGAAGCTAAATTATTTAAAATCGATGTCTTTAAAGATCCAATAAATTGGAAACATGAAGGATTTACATTTCCATGACGATGTTGACGAATTGTGCCAAATAAATTTTCAAGACTATCTTGACAAAATGACCTGGGGCGTAAATGTCATTCCAGCACCTTTACAAATTTTCCAGACCTCCTTCATCGCTCTGATGTTGTTCTTCCAACCAGTTTTAACAGGCATTTTTTGCTTTATTTTGCCTCCGTTCGTCGGCTGAAATTGCCAGTTATCTATTTTGTGAATAATTTGATCCCAAAATGTTATGTGCCTGGACTTTTTTGTAATACTACATCTCAAAGGTTTACTTTTGACAGGGTACCTAGAAATGCCATTGAAAGAATCAAAAAGTTTATCAATGTCAGCAACAAATTCCGCAGTATGAATAGCTTCAGATGGTAAAGGATTATTCCCAGTACATACTTGTGATTCAATAGCAGCAGCCATACTATGACTCATAGTTTTAGCTGCTACAGATACTTTCATTTTAAGAAATGAATTCTTTTTGTCGACATCCAAATATGACCTTCTTATTCGAGGTAACAGGGAAAAACGTCTAGTTTTCTGATCATTATTATAAGCCTTTTGGAGATACTCAAACTTTGCTGTTTTATTTGTGTCATATTTAATATTATATTTCGCAAGAGCCGTTCTAGTATTTTTTAGCAGATGGGGAACATCATGTATAACACAGATTTTTTTGTTATTGTCAAGAAAATACGGTTTATTAACGTTACCAGTCGAGCGTATCACCTTGTCCTTAATTGTTGACCTATTTGTTGAAGCCTGATCACAAACAATGGCTACTGGAATTAAACCTGTAGATTGAACTGCTGTAATGACTTCAGATAATATTGTCGTTAAGTCTGTTGTCTTTATTGTGTCTCTCGTAAAGTAGTAAGCCACAGGTTGTTTAAATGACTTACGTAGACCCCTTACCATAAACACTAAAGCGTGATTAGCAACAATATTTTGGCGACGAGAACCTCCCAAGTCAACATACCCTACAAATTTATCTGAAGTTTTTCAATATGTCAGCTCCTCTGACAAAGCCATTTCGTCAAACATAATGGAACAAATTGTTGGCTTTACAGGTGTCCTTTTTTACGTCCCTCTTAATTTTGTCCAACAATTGCTGGTTTATACCAGTTTCAAATGGTACTTTCATTAACAATTTTTGCAAAGTGGATTTGCAAGGTAACTTTACAAACTGCTGTAAAAACCTGTAACATCTAGGTCCTCTTTTATATAAAGCTAATCCAAATATTTTGCTTTTTGTAGTATAACGTGGTCTCTTTCTGTTTGCATTTACAAACTGTGATTTTATAAAAGAGACCCCAGAAGCGTCAAAATTATTTTCAATGGTGTTAAAAAGTGGACTGTTACTTAAATCGTATGCGGTCTTTATTTTATCCTTTGACTTCAGGAGTTTGGTTTATAATTTGTGTAACAGAACGTTCAAATTTCTACATGAAAAATATAAATGTTTTTTTCTAGGGGTTACATTTTTTACTGATTTGCAATTAATTTGCTGTAAAATTCCATTTTGTCGCTTTGCCCTTCCTAAATGTGATTCAGACATTTCTCTCTTTCTCTTTTTAAGTGTAGAATCAGAGGATTTTTTCGATGTATTAGCAATATCAAATAAATCAACCTTTTGA